GCAGCTTATAATCAGAGGAATGTCTGGAGCAGACACAGTGCAGAGCATGATTTAAGGGAAAAACAGTTATGCCAGGACAAGAATCCATGGCCCAGGCTGCAGCGTTCAGTATCGTAAAGATACCCGCTGTATGGCAGGCTTGGGGCGAGAGCCACTCCTCCTGATAAAGGAGTTGTAGGACCTTGCTCCAGTTCTTGTGGAAGGCTGCCCTCAGAACGGGCAATCCACCTTGGTGACTGTGAACTTATCAGCTCTTGTTATGGTGATGGCTCAAAAGCATCCTCCTATAGAACTCACTGGAAGCTGCCAGCAGGTGGCGGTAGACCCTGACAGCTCTGTCACTACTGTGTTACTTAAAGCATCCTCATACAGACACTCTCATAGATAAGAGATATTGCATACTGCACCCTCTTCGCTGCCCACGGCCCACCTCCATGACTCGGTGACCTAACGGGGGTGGACCCCTTACTGCACAAGGCCTGCCTCCTTGCCTCAATGACCTAATGGGGGTGGACCCCTTGTTTATTGCTCACGATCCTATCACTATCCTTAAAGATGACTTCACTCACTACCCTGCCCCCTAACCTATACTCAATAAATACAGACGCTTCTGGACATTCAGGCCTCACCTATCTCTGCTTACAGGTGGTGTGCCACTACTCCCAGCCCAGCTGTGCTTTCTTTGTACTTCCGTGTCCTGTCTCTTTATTTCTCGGATCCTGTGCCTCAGCACAGCATTAAGGGACACCTCACGACCCTGTGGGGCCCTTAGCCCTACAAAGGCAAGCAAATCACGAGGTCAGCAGTTCAATACCAGCCTGGCCAATATGGTGAAACCCCATCTATACTAAAAATACAAAAAAATTACCTGGGTATGGTGGCAGGCACCTGTAATCCCAGCTACTTGGGAGGCTGGGGCAGGAGAATTGCTTAAACCTGGGAGGCTGAGGTTGTAGTGAGCTGAGATCACACCACTACACTTCAGCCTGGGCAAAAGCAAGATTCTGTTTCACAAAACATAAATAAATAAAAATAAAAAATAAATCAGCTGGGAGTGGTGGCACACACCTGTAATCCCAGCTACTGGGAGGCTGAGGCAGGAGGATCATTGGAACCTGGGAGGTGGAGGTTGCAGTGAGCCGAGATCACACCACTGCACTCCAGCTTGGGAGACAGAGTGAAGCTCTGTCTTGAATAAAAGCAAAACAAAACACTGCTGGATGGTGGATCTTTGCATGTCTGTTACATTATTTTCTTGTCAGAAAATAGTTCAGAATAGTTCATAATTTCTTTTTTATTTTATTTTATTCATTTATTTTTAGGCTCAGGGTTTCACTATGTTGACCAGGCTGATCTCGAACTCCTGACATGATCCTCTCGCCTCAACCTCCCAAAGTGCTGGGTTTACAGGTGTGAGCCACCACGCCTGGCTAATACTTTGTAATTTCTAACAAGGAAAAGGAAGCTTAAGAAGCCAGCATGCTAAGTCACCTATCCCCAACTTTCCTTCCCGTGAGTTTTTTTTTTTTTTGAGACAAGGTCTCACTCTGCCACCCAGGCTGGACTGCCGTGGCCTCCACCTTCCAGGCTCAAGCAATCCTCCCACCTCAGCCTCCCGAGCAGTTGGAACTACAGGCGCGTGCCACCACACTTGGCTAATTTTCTTATTTTTTTGCAAAGGCAGGGTCTCGCTATGTTGCCAGGGCTGGTCTTAAATTCCTGGGCTCAAGCAATCCTTTTACCTCGGCCTCCCCATATACAGGATGACAGACCACTGTGAGCCGCGGTGCCTGGCCCACAGGTCTTTCTTCTCTTCTTCCAGCAGACAGAACACGCAGGTATCCAGCCCAGAGGAAGTTTCTCCCTCTGGAGTGAATCGTTCAGACTTTCTGGCCATCAGTGGTCACAAGCTTTCCCTATCATTGTGTGAACCCTCCCACCTAGTTTCTCCTTACATGAAGCTGGAACCCTGGAATATGGGACATTACCCACAAACTACTTCCAAAAGACTAGGCAACCCTTCCCTCAACAACAAAAAAAAGACATGAATTCAGAAATGCTAAATTTAGCTCTCAACATAAACGGGCCCCTTACCAAGGACTGTCTCCTACAAAGTCTTTCTTTTTCACTATAAGCCTCTCCAAACCTTGCTGCCCACTGGTCCCTTGAAAACCAAGGTCATTTTATTTTTTTTTGAGATGGAGTCTCACTCTGTTGCCCAAGCTGGAGTGCAGTGGCGCAATCTCTGCTCACTGCAACTTCCAACTCCTGGGTTCAAGTGATTCTCCGGCCTCAGCCTCCCGAGTAGCTGGGATTACAGGTGTACACCATCACACTTAGCTACTTTTTGGATTTTTGGTAGAGACAAAGTTTCACTGTATTAGCCAGGATGGTCTCGATCTTGTGACCTTGTAATCCATCCGCCTCAGCCTCCCAAAGTGCTGGGACCATAGGCGTGAGCCACCGGGCCCCATTAAACCAAGGCCATTTTAAAACTCAGCACCCACCATCCCCTCACACTTCCAATAACTTCCTTCATAGAAGTTCTGATCACTTTGGCCAGGCGCGGTGGCTCACGCCTACAATCCCAGCACTTTGGGAGGCCGAGGCGGGTGGATCATGAGGTCAAGAGATCGAGACCATCCTGGTCAACATGGTGAAACCCTGTCTCTACTAAAAATATAAAAATTAGCTGGGCATGGGCACGCCTGCAGTCCCAGCTACTCAGGAGGCTGAGGCAGGAGAACTGCCTGAATCCAGGAGGCAGAGATTGCAATGAGCCGAGATCGTGCCATTGCACTCCAGTCTGGGTAACAAGAGCGAAACTCCGCCTCAAAATAAATAAATAAATAAATAAAAATAAGACGTTCTGATCAGTGCCTTCCTCTTCTACTTCCCTATCCACCTCCTCCTCCTCCTCCTTGCTCTGGTGACAGCAACAGACTCAAATCTCACCCCCAGTCACCAGCAACTCTCTCCCCATCCCTTCCTCCATCATGGGAATTGAGGCATCCAGAAGCCCAGCCCAGTCCTTAAGTTCAGGTCACGTCACTTTTTTTTTTTGGAGGCAGTCTCGCTTTGACACCCAGGCTGGAGTGCAGTGGCACGATCTCAGCTCACTGCAACTTCTGAGTCCTGGGTTCAAGCGATTCTCCTGCCTCAGCCTCCCGAATAGCTGGGATTATAGGCGTGCACCACCACACCTGGCTAATTTTTGTATTTTGAGTAGAAATGGGGTTTCACCATGTTAGTTAGGATGGTCTTGAGCTCTCGACTATTGATCCGCCCGCCTCGGCCTCCCACAAAGTGCTGGGATTACAGGCGTGAGCCACCGCACCTGGCCCAAATCACTTCTTTATTCAGGTATTTCTTGAGCAGGTGCCAGGCCAAGTTTCCCGGCCTCTCCTTCATTCACATCCATCCATTCATCCATCTATCCATCCATCCATTCATTCATTCATTCAAGTGATAATTTATTGAGCATTTACACTGAGACATGCCCCGTGTGAAACACTGGAAATGTGAAAATGGCCAAAACGGTCGCATGACAAGATCCAGACCTCTGAGTCCCTAATCCTTTAGTCTTCTCCACTAAGACTCTCTTGTTCCTTGACAATTTCTTCCCATTAAAGGTTCACTAGGCCAAGGTTCCCAAATGGCTCGAAGCAGCGCAAGGTACTACAACCCTCATCATCACACACTGGCGCCAAGGACTGTAGAACCAGCCGTTGCGCCAAGAGTATTCTAGAAGTTGGAGTTCCTATAGCATGATGGGGCCAGATCTGAGATTCCAGGATTCCAGCCCCTTCTTTTTTTCAATCCCTCAAACCCAGGAGCCCTGGTACCCAGCTCCCGCCTCCCCTAAGATCCAGAAGTCTAGCCCCCAGGTCCCCTTCTCCCCTAGACCCAGGAGTCCGAGCTTCCTCCTCCTCCAGACCCGAGTCTGGACCCCCAGATTCTTCCTCCTTCAGACCCAAAAGTCAGGGCCTCTAGCCTCCTCCTCTCTCAGACTCGAGACTGCGGGCTCTCTCCTTACCCTCCATGCACTCACACTTACCACGGTTGCCATGATGCTCACCAACTGCCAATGTCCTAAGGGAAACGGAAATGCGCGAGGAGCAAGGTGCTCTGGCCCTTCTAGGCTAGCACGTCCTCCAAAGATCTCTATGGTTCCTCATAAATATGTAAATATTGCAGAGGCGTGGCGGTACTTTAGGCCCCGCCTGCCCGCCTAGGCTACGCTGGAAGACGGGTGTCCGGAACTCGTGGGTCCATTCCCAATGCCTCTGGCTCCTCCTCCTTTTGCTCAGCCCCCCGTCCCCGCTCAGGCCGATTGCGAAATTCTTAGCTGTTCTTTGAGTAACCACACGTCCTCCACGCTCCTTTCGTCTTTATCCCACCCTCCTCTTCCCTCCGACTTTGAGGCCTCCAGCTTCAGATTGACAGAGCTGAAGGCCAATCGCTTCCGTAGGGCGCGGCGACAAGCTCCGCCCCCGAAAGCCGAGGCGGGGCCCGGACACAGGGACCACTAACCGTTCCACCAATGAGGAGACGCGGAAATCCCCGCCCCCGGGCACGAGCCAATGGCGCTAGCTGGGGGGGTGGGGGGAGTCTGCCATCGCCTCCTGGCGGCCGCGAGGTTTCACTGCAGGGACACCGCGGGGCTCTGACGCTGCGGCCGCCTTCTGCCTAAGTCCGAATGCACCGGGGCGGGGGTGCGGTCGTGCAATAGGAAGCTGAGCGTCTTGCAAGCTTCCCATCGGGCACCAGCTGCTCGGCCCCGCACCCTACCTGGTGCATTCCCCGGACACCTCCGGGGTCCCTGCTTGAGGTCCCGGAGCCCCCTTCCAGCGCCAGCCATGCCTTTACACCGCACTTTGTCCATGTCCTCACTGCCAGGACTGGAGGACTGGGAGGATGAATTTGATCTGGAGAACACAGTGCTCTTCGAAGTGGCCTGGGAGGTGGCCAACAAGGGTGAGTACGCCAGGCGTCGGGGCCCTTGATGAGGAGGACAGTAGTGGATGGGGACCCAGAACTCTGAGTTGTAGGGGGACGGGGCTACAAGGGGAACCCTTGGGTCCTGGGTAAGGAGGCTGTGACTCCTGTGTCCTTGAGAAGGGGCTGGGAGGCCGGCGGTGAGTGGGAGAGGGATGAGTCGTTTGACTTACGATGAAAGGAGGCTGGAAACCCGGGTTCTGGATCCTAGGGAAGAGGGCGCTAAAATGAAAGACTCCTGGGTCCTGGAGGGAAGCTTCGGGGAGACTAGATACCTGGGTGCTGAACAGGGAAGCGGATGGGGAGATGGGACTTGTGTGTGCAAACCTGGGAAGCTGCTGGGGTTTCAGACCTGTGGCCCTAACAGCATGGTCTAGGGCATAAAACTCCGGATTTGAGAGAGAGCTGACTGGGAGATAGGAGGCCTGAGCTGCAGTGGGAGGACCTGAGGACCTGGCTGCTTGAGAATAAAGATGAGAAGGGCTGGGGACGCTAATCCTCCGTAGGGAGAGGGCTGCGGGCCTGAATGCCTGGGCTTTGAAGGAGCTGAAGGCCTGAGCTCTTAGTTCCCAGTAGAGGAGCCAGGGCCTGGGACACATGCGTACTCGAATAGGGAAGGCTGGGAAGTCCTAAGTTAGGCAGGGGCTGGGCCCTAGGATGGGAGTGGCTGGGAGCCCGCATTTCTGTGTCTTGGGCTCCAAAAAGCTGAGGTTCTGACCTTGGAGAAGGCTGGGGCTCAAATCCCCAGGAACAAGCCAGTCCCCGACCTCAAAGAGCAGGGTCTGGGGGGTTTCTTTTCTGCGTCTTGGAGGGAAAAGGGACTGGGTCTCCCAGGAGGAGAGGGGGGCCCCTTGAACACACAGCCGGATCTCACCAGGGCCTGGGCTCCAGGAGGGTAGGAGGCTGGGGGCGGGGGCTCCTGGGTCTGGGATAGGGCCATGGGCCCTGCATGCTTTGTCCCTAGTCAAGGAAAGGAAATTGGGAGGCAGGTCAGCAGGGTCCCTGGGGGCAGGAAATGATCATGCAGGCTTCTCTTGGGCAACAGTGAGAAGCTGAATCCGTCATGAAGAGGGAATCTCCCTCACCGGGTTAAACCCAGCTCCTGTGAGGTGGGAACTCAGGAACCCGGGTCCAGGTAGTCCTCAGCTCTGCCATCCTTAGAGCCCCAGTCCCTAATTCCCTCAAACCCAGGAGTCCCGGCTCCCAGCCCCTTCTCTCTCAGGCTCACAAGTCTAGCCTGAGCCCTGTCCTCCCTCAGGGTCCTGACCCCAGCCCCCTTCTCCCTTAGACCCTGGAGGACTGCCCTCCAGCCCCCTGTTCCCTTGATCTAAGCCTCCAAACCCCCTACTCCAAACTACCGGCTCCTAGCCCCCTCATCCCCCTGAGCTAGGGGTCTGGGGCTTGAGCACCCCCACATCCCCAGCCCACCCCACCCCAGGCCCCAGAACTGTGGACCTTGGCTGGGGTCTGCCCTCACACGCTTGGGCCCACAGTGGGTGGCATCTACACGGTGCTGCAGACGAAGGCGAAGGTGACAGGGGATGAATGGGGCGACAACTACTACCTGGTGGGGCCGTACACGGAGCAGGGCGTGAGGACCCAGGTGGAGCTGCTGGAGGCCCCCACGCCGGCCCTGAAGAGGACACTGGACTCCATGAACAGCAAGGGCTGCAAGGTGGGACATGGCATGGCCCAGGGCAGAAGGGGGTGGACAGCCTGCCTTCATGGTGGGAGCCACAAACAGAGAGGGGGCGCGGGGTGATACCTGGAGCAAGAGAGCGAGGCATGCCTCGATACAGGAACAAGGCATGATAGGACACCCAGAGATGCAGGGCCTGGAAGTGGGTGGGTGGATCCCAGACTTTGGCAAAGGCACATGCAGATGGCAGGTATGAGACAGACCGAGACGCAGATCCAAGAGGCCACGATCCTCAGACCCAGAGAGAAAAAGAGCAGGATCAGAAGATGGCCATTCAGGGCCAGCCTGGCCAACACAGAGAAACCCCATCTCTACTAAAAATACAAAAATTAGCCGGGCGTGGTGGTGGGCGCCTGTCATCCTAGCTACTTGGGAGGCTGAGGCAGGAGAATCCCTTGAACCCGGGAGGCAAAAGTTACACTGAGCTGCTATTGAGCCACTGCACTCCAGCCTGGGCAACGAGAGCAAGACTCCATCTCAAAAAAGAAAGCCAGCCGGCCAGCCAGGCAGAGATGGGGAGAGGCGGCCTGAGGTCAGGCAGGAGCAGCATTCTGGAGCCTAAAGTTCACGCTCATCACCTCCACTGTGTCCGCGGCTAATGGATGCTGAGAGCCCGCATTTCTGCGTCTTGGGATCCAAAAAGCTGAGGTTCCAAATGCTAATACCATCTACCTTCTAGAGGGGCTGGGAGGATGAAACAGTTAATAAGGATAAAGTGCTTAGTAGAGTTCTTGAAGGTAGCACAGTGTGTGGGCGGTGATTGTCTTTTTATTTTTCTTGAGATGGAGTCTTGCTCTGTTGCCAGGCTGGAGTATAGTGGTGCGATCTTGACTCACTGCAACCTCCGCCTCCAGGGCCCAAGTGATTCTCCTGCCTCAGCCTCCCGAGCAGCTGGGACTACAGGCGCCCACTACCACGCCTGGCTAATTTTTGTATTTTTAGTAGAGACGGGGTTTGACCACGTTGGCCAGGCTGGTCTCGAACTCTGAACTCATGAGTCTCCCAAAGTGCTGGGATTACAGGCGTGAGCCACTGCACCCAGCTGTGATTGTTATTATGATCTTCGTTCTTATTGCCAGTATAAACAGCCAAGCTCGGAGAATGAGGGGGGCAGGCAGACAAAGGGAGAGGCGTGGATGGAGCCATGGGCAAGGGGTGACAGGGAGACCGACTAGGAACAGGAAAGAGACCTCCAGGTGTTTCAGAAGGTCAGACCTGGGAGGAGGGAGAGGCATGGAGTATGGGGAAGACAGGAGAAGTCAGCAGGTAGAGCCCCAGGACAGAGTCTGAGACGGGCAGATCAGGGAGTAGAGAGGAGCGGGAGCCCCAGGACAGAGTCTGAGACGGGCAGATCAGGGAGTAGAGAGGAGCGGGAGCCCCAGGACAGAGTCTGAGACGGGCAGATCAGGGAGTAGAGAGGAGCGGGAGCCCCAGGGCTGCAGGGTGAAGACAGGAAGAGACACACTGTTGTCTCAGGAGAAAGCCATAGGCAGCAGGGCCGAGGGACGGACAGGTCTGGGTCTGGGAGGGAGAGGCACTGTGGTTCCTTCACTCATTCACAGCCTGTTTGGGGTGGGGTCTGGAATCCATTCAGGCCCTACTGTGTCCCTAAGGGACCCAGGAACAGCCCGATCCCTTCCTGAGGGCAGCTGCTTCCCACATGCTGGGGGCCTAAGAATAGCCCCCCCCCCAGCAAAAGGGCAGACGACAGCTGGGAGGGGGAGGGGCCTCAGAGCCAGGCCCCGGGCAGGAAAGAGCCAGGTCAGCCAGGAGTGAGGCTGCGTCTCCGCTGCGGTGGCAGTGGGCCCAGAACTAAGGCCACCGTCTCCAGGAGGAACGCAGCCAACTGGAGAAAAGAGGCAGAGGCAGAAGTGAGGCAGCGAGACTCAGAAGCGTGGCCTCGGCTAGAAAAACGCAGCCCTGGGGCATGGACGAGGATGGGCTATGTTAGCAATGTGTGGCTCAGGCTGGGCATGGTGACTCACACCTGGAATCTGGCACTTTGGGAGGCTGAGGCGGGTGGATCACCTGAGGTCGGGAGTTGGAGACCAGCCTGGCCAACATGGAGAAACCCTGTCTCTACTAAAAATATAAAATTAGCCAGGTGTGGTGGTGGGTGCCTGTAATCCCAGCTACTCGGGAGACTGAGGCAGGAGAATGGCTTGAACCCAGGAGGCGGAGGTTGTGGTGAGCCAAGATCTCGTCGCTGCTCTTCAGCCTGGGCGACAAGAGTGAAACTCTATCTCAAAAAAAGGAAAAAAAAATGTGTGGCTGCGGGCCGGATGCACTGGCTCATGCCTGTAATCCTGGCATTTTGGGAGGCCAAGGTGGGAGGATAGCTTGAGCCCAGGAGTTTGTGACCAGCCTGGGTGACATGGTGAAACCCCATCTCTACTAAAAATACAAAAACTTAGCCAGGCATGGTGGTGCGTGCCTGTGATTCCAATTACTCAGGAGGCTGAGATGGGAGGATCACCTGATCCTGGGAAGTCGAGGCTGTAGTGAGCCATGATTTTTTTTTTGGAGATGGAGTGATGCTCTGTGTCCCCCAGGTTGGAGTGCAGTGGTGGTCTTGACTGACCACGACCTCCACCTCCCGCATTCAAGCAATTCTCCTACCTCAGCCTCCTGAGTATCCGGGACCTCAGGTGCATGCTGCCACACCCAGCTAATTTTTTGTACTTTAATAGAGATGGGGTTTCACTGTGTTGCCTAGGCTGGTCTTGAACTCCTGAGCTCAGGCAATCTGCCTGCCTCGGCCTCTGCTGGGATTACACGCGTGAGCTACTGTGCCTAGCCCAGAGAGTCATGATTGCACCACTGCACTCCAGCCTGGGCCACCAGAGTGAGAACCAGTCTAAGAGAGAAAGAGAGAGAGAGGAAGCTTGGGGGAGGAAGGCAGGTAGGAAGACAAGGAAGATAAGGAGGAAGAGAGGAAGGAAAGAAGGAGGAAGGGAGAGAGGGAGGGTGGGAGGGAGGAAATGTGGCTGTGGACTACAGCATGGGCCTATGAATAGAGGAAAAAGGTTGCAGGTGACAGATATGCGACGAAAGGAACAGAAGGCAACAAGGTGTAGAAGAGTTGGCAGCATGAACAGTGAAAGAATCATCACAGGCCGGACACAGTAGCTCATGCCTGTAATCCCAGCACTTTGGGAGGCCGAGGCAGGCAGATCACTTGTGACCAGGAGTTTGATACCAGCCTGGGCAACATGGTGAACCTTGTCCTTACAAAAAATTTAAACATTAGCTGGGTGTGGTGCCGTGTGCCTGTGGTCCCAGCTATGTGGGAAGCTGCCGTGGGAGGATTGCTCGAGCCTGGGAGGTCGAAGCTGCAGTGAGCTGTAATTGCACCACTGCATTCCAGGCTGGGTGACAGAAAATAAAAAAGGGCCTCGCTTGGTGGCTCACACTTCTAATCCCATCACTTTGGGAGGCTAAGCAGGAAAATTGCTTGAACCCAGGAGTTCACAATCAGCCCAGGGAACACAGTGAGACCCCCATCTCCACAAAAGATTTAGAACTTAGCCAGGCATGGTGGTCCACACCGGCAGGAGGTGAGGCGGGAGGATTGACTGAGCCAGGGAGGTTGAGGCTGCACTGAACCTCCCTGCATGTCCACACCACTGCACTCCAGCCTGGGCAACAGAGCAAGACCCTGTCTCAAAACAGAAAAGTAGTATCCCATGGAAGGAATTAGCATCAGAAAGAAAAGACAGTGGGAGATGAAGACGGTTGGCAAGAGAAATGTGGCCAGAAGTACAGAAACAAGGTGGCAGGTAGGAGAATGCTTAGCAGGGTGGCCAGACAGGGCAGGGGAGGAATAGAGACAGGACATGTGATGACATACTTGGTTATAAGCAGAGAAAGGGGACAGGGAGTGGGAGAAGGGTAGCACTTATAGAAATTAAACAGGAGGCCGGGCGCAGTGGCTCACCCCTGTAATCCCAACACTTTGGGAGGCCGAGGAGGGCAGATCACCTCAGCTCAGGAGTTCGAGACTAGCCTGGCCAACATGCTGAAACTCCGTCTCTACTAAAAATACAAATATTAGCCAGGTCTGAGGGTGGGCGCCTGTAATCCCAGCTATTCGGGAGGCTGAGGCAGGAAAATCACTTGAACCTGGGAGGCCAAGATTATGCCACTGCAATGCAGCCTGGGCAAAAGAGCAAGACTCCATCTCAAAAATAAATAAATAAGAAAGAAAGAGGCCGGGCATGGTGGCTCACGCCTGTAATCCCAGCACTTTGGGAGGCCGAGGCGGGTGGATCATGAGGTCAAGAGATCGAGACCATCCAGGTCAACATGGTGAAACCCCGTCTCTACTAAAAATACAAAAAATTAGCCGGGCATGGTGACACGTGCCTGTAATCCCAGGTACTCGGGAGGGTGAGGCAGGAGAATTGCCTGAACCCAGGAGGCGGAGGTTGCGGTGAGCCGAGATCGCGCCATTGCACTCCAGCCTGGGAAACAAGAGCGAAACTCCGTCTCAAAGAAAGAAAGAAGAAAAAGAAAGAAAAGAAAAGAAAGAAAGAAAGAGGAAGAAAGAAAGAAGAAAGAAAGAAAGGAAGAAGGAAGGAAGGAAGGAAGGAAGGAAGGAAGGAAGGAAGGAAGGAAGGAAGGAAGGAAGGAAGGAAGGAAAGCATGGGGCAGGGAATATATTGCAGCGGAGATGGAAAAATGTGTGGTGGGAATGAATCATGCAAATAGAGAAACAGGCTCAGGCAGCGGGTGAGAAATTAGCAGCAAATACAGAAACAGAAGGGAAGAGAGCTGAGGCTTAGGTCTAGACATCTGCCTGCAACCGGGAGAACCACAGTGCGTGCAAACGTGAGGTTGAAGCCCTGATCCTTTCTGTGGTGCCCGCCCCTCCCCCACAACCCCAGGTGTATTTTGGGCGCTGGCTGATCGAGGGAGGCCCCCTAGTGGTGCTCCTGGACGTGGGGGCCTCGGCCTGGGCCCTGGAACGCTGGAAGGGAGAGCTCTGGGATACCTGCAACATCGGGGTGCCGTGGTACGACCGCGAGGCCAACGACGCTGTCCTCTTTGGCTTTCTCACCACCTGGTTCCTGGGTGAGGTAGGTTCCACTGCAGTCCCCATCTGTCACTTTCCACCCATACCTGAAACTACAATGACCATCAGCCCCCAGGCCAGAGGATGGGCTTTTCCCTGGGCATTCTGGGAGTCATAAGGTCCTTTAATCCAAGGATTAGCTCTGACCTTTGGGGACATGGACATCCAGGGACCCAGGATCTTCTTTCCTCAGAGATCCAAAACTCTTGATGCCAACTTCATTTACTCCAGTCTTCCAGGCGTAGGAATTCAGGCTCAAAGTGAGGCCGGCGGGCTGTCCCAGGGAATTCTGGGAGTTGTAGTTCTCTAGGGTGCTATCGCTGGACTCGGGGCTCAGATGCTGCCCCAGATGCTTACGAATTCCCAGCCTGACCTGGCTTTGGCCCCCTTCTAGGTTTTAAAAGGCTCAAAACGCTTAATTTCCAGGCTGGGTGCGGTGGCTGACGCCTGTAATCCCAGCACTTTGGGAGGCTGATGGGGAAAGATCACTTGAGGCCAGGAGTTCAAGATGGCCAATCCTCCTCTCTACTAAAGATGTGAAATAATTAGCCAGGTGTGGTGGCAGGCACCTGTAATCCGTTCTCGGCTCACCGCAACCTCCGCCTCCTGGGTTCAAGCAATTCTCCTGCCTCAGCCTCCCGAGTAGCTGGGATTACAGGCGTGCACCACCATGCCCAGCTAATTTTTGTATTTTTAGTAGAGATGGGGTTTCACCTTGTTGACCAGGATGGTCTCGATCTCTTGACCTCATGATCTACCCGCCTAGGCCTCCCAAAGTGCTGGGATTATAGGCGTGAGCCACTGCGCCTGGCCAGTGTTTCCCGTCTTAACCTGCCAGGATTTAGAAGGTTGGCCAAAAAATCCTCAGTTCCCATCAACTCCTGGGGAGCCAGTCACTTGAGCCCAGGAGTTGCTGCCTTAGGGATTTCCAGTTCCCTGTGCAGTCGGAATTACTGCTGCTGCCCACTCTGCAGTGTGGTGACAGATGAACCTCTCCCCAAGTCCTTGTCGCTACCCGGGACTGCCAATTCCCTTCCTGACACTCGTGGAGACAGCATCCCTCTCCCTGTTGCCTCACAGTTCCTGGCGCAGAGTGAGGAGAAGCCGCACGTGGTTGCACACTTCCATGAGTGGTTGGCAGGCATTGGACTCTGCCTGTGTCGTGCCCGGCGACTGCCTGTGGCAACCATCTTCACCACCCATGCCACGCTGCTGGGGCGCTACCTGTGTGCTGGTGCCGTGGACTTCTACAACAACCTGGAGAACGTGAGCTGGGACCGTGTCCGATGAGGGACTGCGAGTATGCCAGGATAACCCAAAGCTCTGGGGAGCCCAAGGGGATGGCGTCCTCTCTCCTCCCAGGACCCAGAAGTCCAAGTCCCAAGCCCCCTCCTACCTCAGACCCGGGAATCCAGCCCCCAGCAACAGTTTCCCTTAGGACCCCTGAGTCTAAGGGAAAGAGTCTGGACCTGCAGAGTCTTCTCCCCAGTCCTTCTAACCTGACTGTCGTCCCCTCCCACCCAGTTCAATGTGGACAAGGAAGCAGGTGAGAGGCAGATCTATCACCGCTACTGTATGGAAAGGGCGGCAGCCCACTGTGCTCACGTCTTCACTACTGTGTCCCAGATCACTGCCATTGAGGCACAACACTTGCTCAAGAGGAAACCAGGTAGGGGCCGGGCTGAAGTCCCCAGACATGAATGTGGCAGGCAGCTGTCTATGCCAAAGCTAGTTGCTCCTAATCCCAAGAAACCACTGTAAACTGGAATGGCATGGGCTGGGCATGGTATAATCCCAGCACCTTGGGAGGCTGAGGTGGGTGGATCACGAGGTCAGGAGTTTAAGACCAGCCTGGCCAAGATAGTGAAACTGTCTCTCCTAAAAATACAAAAATTAGCCAGGCGTGGTGGCACACACCTATAATCCCAGCTACTCAGGAGGCTGAGACAGAAGAATTGCTTGAACCCAGGAAGCGGAGGTTGCAGTGAGCCAAGATCGTGCCATTGCACTCCAGCCTGGGTGACAGAGTGAGAATCCATCTCAAGAAAGAAAAAAAAGTGTAAACTGAAAATGTATTTTGGCTGGACACAGTGGCTCACACCTGTAATCCCAGCACTTCGAAAGGCCAAGGCAGGAGGATCCCTTGAGTCCAGGAATTTGAGACCACCCTGGATAACATGGTGAATCCCTGCCTACAAACTTAGCCAGACATGGTGGGGGGGGTGTGTGTACTTGTACCCCCAGCTCCTCGGGAGGCTGAAGTGGAAGGACTGCTTGAGCCTAAGAGGTCAAGGGTGCAGTGAGCTGTGATCGTCCTACCGAACCATCTGGCTGGCATAGCGAGACCCTGTCACAGCCTGGGTGACACAGTGAGACCCTGTCTCAAAAAATTGAACATCAGGGCCGGGCGTGGTGGCTCACGCCTGTAATCCCAGCACTTTGGGAGGCTGAGGCAGGTGGATCACGAGGTCAAGAGATCGAGACCATCCTGGTCAACATGGTGAAACCCCGTCTCTACTAAAAATACAAAAAATTAGCTGGGCATGGTGGCACATGCCTGTAATCCTAGCTACTTGGGAGGCTGAGGCAGGAGAATTGCCTGAACCCCGGAGGTGGAGGTTGCGGTGAGCCGAGATCGCGCCATCGCACTCTAGCCTGGGTAACAAGAGCGAAACTCCGTCTCAAAAAAAAAAAAAAAATTGAACATCAGAGTTTAGCCTTAAATGTACCCAGAACACTTTACATTAGCCTACAACTGGGCAAAATCATCCAATACAAACCTATTTTATAATAACGTATTGAATACACCGGTTGTGGTGGCTCACACCTATAATCACAGCTCTTTGGGAGGCTGAGGCTGGTGGATTCGAGGTCAGAAGATCAAGACTAGCCTGGCCAAGATGGTGAAACTCCATCCCTACTGAAATAAAAAATTAGCCAGGCATGGTGGCGGGCGTCTGTACTCCCAGCTACTCAGGAGGCTGAGGCAGGAGAATTGCTTGAACCCAGGAGGCAGAGGTTGCAGTGAGCCCAGATCGGGCATTGCACTTCAGCCTGGATGACAGAGCGAGCCTCAGTTTCAAACATAAATAAATATTTCGCACCATCACAGAGTTGAAAAATTATAACTTGCCCGGGCGCAGTGGCTCACGCCTGTAAGCCCAGCATTTTAGGAGGCCAAGATGGGCGGATCATCTGAGGTCAGGCATTTGAGACCAGCCTGGCCAACAATCCCCTATCAAAAATACAAAAATACAAAAATTATCTGGGCATGATGTCAGGCGCCTGTAATCCTAGCTGCTCAGGAGGCTGAGAGAAGAGAATCACTTGAACCCAGGAGGCAGAGATTGCAGTGAGATAGATTGTGCCATTGCACTTCAGCCCGGGTGACAAGAGCGAAACTCCATTTCCAAAAAAAAAAAAGACAAATCATTACTTAAACCATTGTAGGCTGGGGACCATCGGTCACCATTTTTTCCCTAAAGAATAGAAAGCTGCAGCTCCCAGAAGGCTGTGGGGTGGTGACCTGTACTTGAGACTCTCTGACTATACACTTTGGAGGCTAATGGGAGGTATAAATAATTTCTTTCGTATTAATTTCAGATATGATAAAATTCTGATTGGTCTTATGAAAGGGAATGAAAGCTCAGTGGACTCTGTTTACACTCCAGCCTGGGCAACAAAGCGAGACTCCATCTCAAAAAAAAAAAGAAAAAAGAAAAATTAGCTGGGTGTGACAGTGCATGCCTGTAGTCTCAGCTTCTAGGGAGGCTGAGGTGGGAGGACTGTTTGAGCCCAGGAGGCCGAGAATGCAATGAGCTATGATTGTGTCACTGCTCTCCAGCCTGAGCGACAGAGAGAAACCCTGTCTCCAAAAAAAAAAGGTGGGGCCGGGCACAGTAGCTCACGCCTGTAATCCCAGCACTTTGGGAGGCCAAGGCAGGTGGATCATAAGGTCAAGAGATCGACATCATCCTGGTCAACATGGTGAAACCCCGTCTCTACTAAAAATACAAAAAATTAGCTCTGGGCATGGTGGCGCGTGCCTGTAATCCCAGCTGCTCAGGAGGCTGAGGCAGGAGAATTGCCTGAACCCAGGAGGCGGAGGTTGCGGTGAGCCGAGATCGCGCCATTGCACTCCAGCCTGGGTAACAAGAGCGAAACTCCGTCTCAAAAAAGAAAAAAAAAAAAAAGGTGGGAGTGGGGACCTCATAGGAACACTGTTGAAAGAAAGAAATTGCAAAAGGCAAAGGGTGTTTCCTTAATTTATTCATTCAAGCACAACATTGATCTGAATGAGCAAATAAAACATGGGACCCTCACCCCCAATCCCAGATATTGTGACCCCCAATGGCCTGAATGTGAAGAAGTTTTCTGCTATGCATGAGTTCCAGAACCTCCATGCTCAGAGCAAGGCTCGAATCCAGGAGTTTGTGCGGGGCCATTTTTATGGGTACGTGGGGCATATACCCAGGTCTTCAGAGAGGAGGGCGTTGGGAGCCTAATCGTCTAGGACTGGGGGAGGCAGTAGCTGGGGGCCCAGACTCCTGGGTCTGAGGGAGGGGGCACCTGGGTATCCGGCCTCCTTGGTTCTTGAGTGCTGAGGATTAAAGGAAACCCCCATCTAAAGAGAAGAACTGGCCGGGCGCAGTGGCTCACGCCTGTAATCCCAGCACTGTGGGAGGCTGAGGTGGGCGGATCACCTGAGGTCAGGAGTTCAAGTCCAGCCTGGCCAACATGGTGAAACTTCATGTCTTAAAAAAAAAAAAAAAGAACTACAACTCTCAGGAGGCCCCACGATGCCTCTGCGTTACCTCAGCTAGCCTCTGTCCCTACCCATACCTTCTGGGATTTGTAGTTTTGAGGCCAGGGCTAGCGGGTGAGGCCTTTGGGCTTTACCCTACCTTGTGGGTTCTTTAGGCATCTGGACTTCAACTTGGACAAGACCTTGTACTTCTTTATCGCCGGCCGCTACGAGTTCTCCAACAAGGGTGCTGACGTCTTCCTGGAGGCCTTGGCCCGGCTCAACTATCTGCTCAGAGTGAGGCCTGGGCTGTGAGGGGACAGAGGGAGGGCAAGAAAAGCTGTATAGAACCGGGGAGAACAGCCGGGTGCAGTGGCTCACACCTGGAATCCCAACACTTTGGGAGGCCAAGGTGTGAGGAACACTTGAGCCCAGGAGATAGAGACCAGCCTGGGTAACTTGGTGAAATGCCATCTCTACAAAAAATGCAAGAATTAGCCAGGCATGGTGGCTCACATCTGTAGTCCCAGCTACTCAGGAGGGTGAGCGGGGAGAATCACTTGAGCCCGGGAGGCGGAGGTTGCAGTGAGCCATGGTCACACCACTGCACTCCAGCCTGGGCAGCAGGAAAAGATGCTGCCTCAAAAACCAACAAACAAAACACTGGAAAGAACAGACACCCAGGCCGGGCGCGGTGGCTCACGCCTGTAATCCTAGCACTTTGGGAGGCCGAGGCAGGTGGATCACGAGGTCAGGAGTTCGAGACTAGCCTGATCAACATGGTGAAAACCTGTCTCTACTGAAAATACAAAAATTAGCCAGGTGCGGTGTCATGTGCCTGTAATCCCAGCTACTCAGGAGGCTGAGGCAGGAGAATCTCTTGAACCCGGGAGGTGGAGGTTGCAGTGAACCCAGATCACACCACTGCACTCCAGCCTGGGGGACAGAGCAAGAATTCATCTCAAAAAAATAAATAAATAAATAAAAATAACTAGAACAGAGACCCAGGAAGATGGGGTAGGAAAACCCCTGTGTGTGGTGGGGGCCGTGAAGGGAGTATAGAGACCCAGACAGGTCAGAGTCCAAGTGGGGACTGTCCTGTAATTCTTGACAGGAAGGGGTATGGCAGGGTCCCAGTGGTCTTGGTGGAAAGGCTGGCTGGTCCCAGGCTTCCCCCACATGATCCTGACCTACCCCTTCTTTCTTTCTGCTCAGGTGAACGGCAGCGAGCAGACAGTGGTTGCCTTCTTCATCATGCCGGCGCGGACCAACAATTTCAACGTGGAAACCCTCAAAGGCCAGGCCGTGCGCAAACAGCTTTGGTTAGCAGCCCTCAGCTCAGGACCCCTGCCCAGCCCACTCCCAGCTGTGTGCTTTGGGTCCTGTGTTTCTCCTAGAATCTCAGTCTTTTTTTTTTTTTTTTTTGAGACAGAGTCTCTCTCTGTCAACCAGGCTGGAGTGCAGTGGTGCGATCTCAGCTCACGGCAACCTCCAACTCCCAGGTTCAAACAGTGCTCCTGCCTCAGCCTCCCACGTAGCTGGCAATTCAGGCACCCACTACCACACCTGGCTAATTTTTTTTTTTTTGAGATGGAGTTTCGCTCTTGTTACCCAGGCTGTAGTGCAATGGCATGATCTCGGCTCACCGCAACCTCTGCCTTCTGGGTTCAAGCAATTCTCCTGCCTCAGCCTCCCAAGTAGCTGGGACTACAGGCGCGCACCACCGTGCCCAGCTAATTTTTGTATTTTTAGTAGAGACAGGGTTTCACCTTGTTGACCAGGATGGTCTTGATCTCTTGACCTCGTGATCCACACGCCTCGGCCTCCCAGGCCTGTTGCCCATGCTGGAGTGTAAACAGAGTCCACTGATCTCTCATTCCCTAAGACCAATCAGAATTTTATCAAATCTGAAATTAATATGAAAGAAATTATTTATACCTCCCATTAGCTTCCAAAGTGTATAGTCAGAGAGCCTCAAATACAGGTCGCCACCCCCATAGCCTTCTGGGAGCTGCAGCTTTCTATTCTTTAGGGAAAAAGTGCTGGGATTACAGGCGTGAGCCACTGCTCCCGTAATCCCTCTTTTTTTTTTTTTTTCTTTTGAGATGGAGTCTTGCTCTGTCACCCAGGCTGCAGTGCAATGGTGCGATCTCAGTTCACGGCAACCTCCACCTCCCAGGTTCAAGTGATTCTCCTTCCTCAGTCTCCTGAGTAGCTGGGATTACAGGCACCTGCCACCACACCCAAGTAATTTTTTTTGTATATTTAGTAGAGACAGGGTTTCATCATGTTGGCCAGGCTGGTCTCAAACTCCTGACCTCAGGTGATCTGCCCACCTTGGCCTCCCACAGTGCTGGGATTACAGGCATTAGCCACTGTGCCCAGCCCAGTGTTTTTTTCTTTTCTCTGATTTTTTTTTTTTTCTGTCACCCGGGCTGGAGTGCAGTGGCGTGATCTCAGCTCACTGCAACCTCCATCTCCCAGTGAACCTCGGTTTCTTCGTCTGTAAACCATTCGTTCATTAGCAGCAGATACTCACTGAGCCTCTGCTACGTACCAGGCACTCTTCCAGGTCCAGGAAATACAGCTGTGAACCAGAAAAATAAGATCCCTTTCCTCATAGAGCTTGCCTTCTAGAAAATCGCGTAGACAGAATTCATTTTCGGCCAAAAGTAAAGCACGACTGGAATATGAGACGGGGCTGTCGGGAGAGGCCACATTGAGAAAATGTTATGGGGCAGAGAGGAGGAAAGGTCACGACAGAGCAAGCCCTGTGGGTATCTGGGGAACAGCAAATGTGAAGGCCCTGGGCATGTTTCAGACGAGGTGGGGGGCCAGGCGAGGTGGCTCATGCCTGTAATCCCAGCATTTTGGGAGACTGAGGCAGGCGGATCACAAGCTCAAGAGATCGAGACCATCCTGGCCAACATGGTGAAACCCTGTCTCTTAAAAAAAAAAAAAAAAAAAAAAAAGACTCAGTGGGGCCAGGCGTGGTGGCTCACGCCTGTAATCTCAGCACTTTGGGAGGCCAAGGCAGGCAGATCACAAGGTCAGGCGTTCGTTCGAGACCAGCCTGGCCAGCATGATGAAACCCCATCTCTACTAAAAATACAAAAAATTAGCTGGTCGTGATGACACACATCTGTAATCCCAGCTACTTGGGAGACTGAGGCAGGAGAATCCCTTGAACCTGGAAGGCAGAGGTTATAGTGAGCCTAGATCACACCACTGCACTCCAGCCTGGGCGACAGAGCAAGACTCCATCTCAAAAAAAAAAAAAGAAAGAGGCTGGGCATGGTAGCTCACACCTGTAATCCCAGCACTTTGGGAAGCTGAGGAGGGCGGATCACCTGAGGGCAGAACTATGAGACCAGCCCGGTCAACATGGTGAAACCCCATCTGTACTAAAAATATAAAAATTAGTTAGATGTGGTGTGTGCGCTTGTAATGGCAGCTATTCAGGAGGCTGAGGCAGGAGAATTGCTTGTACCCAGGAAGTGGCTGAGATCGTGCCACTGCACTCTAGCCTGAGCAACAGAGCAAGACTCTGCTCTGTCTCAAAACAAAAAAAAAAAAGAAAGGAAAGAACGAAAAATAAATGAATAAATGAGGCCAGCACTATGAGAGGATTTTATTTTAGTTGGAGTTTCGCTCTTGTTGTCCAGGCTGGAGTGCAATGGCACGATCTGAACTCACCGCAACCTCCACCTCCTGGGTTCAAGCAATTCTCTTGCCTCAGCCTCCTGAGTAGCTGGAATTACAGGAATGCACCACCATGCCCAGCTAATTTTGTATTTTTAGTAGAGACGGGGTTTCTCCATGTTGGTCAGGCTGGTCTCGAACTCCCGACCTCAGGTGATCTGCCCACCTCTGTCTCCCAAAGTGCTGGGATTACAGGCATAGACCACCGTGCCTGGCCTGGGAGGATTTTAAGTAGAGGAGTGATCGTCAGGCTGTCCTGTGACACTGCTGGCTTTAGGGTCCTTACGCAGAATCTTCTGTTCTTTTCGTATAAGATGGGGCTTAGCATTGCCACCTGCAGGACAAGGACAAGCCCTAATAATAGCTGACATTTCTGGAAGGCTTGCTGTGTGTACTTTTTGGCATGACATCCCTGGGTCCTCATTGCATACCTCTGAGGTCGATTCTATTTTCATCCTCGTCTGAAAGATGAGTCACTTCCACAGAGAGGGAAGGCCACCTGTCCCTGACCACACAGCTGATGTCAGGCACGTGAGATCTCAGCCTTCCAGGGCCTGCCCCCTGAGTCCCCACCCTCCAGCCTGGAGGCCCCAGGGTATGGCCTCCCTGCTCACACCTGTTTCCTTTCTACCCTAGAAATCTAACAGTAGCTGGGCCCGGTGGCTCACACCTGTAATCTGAGCACTTTGGGAGGCTGAGGTGGGTGGATTACCAGAGGTCAGGAGTTCGAGACCAGCCTGGCTAATATGGTGAAAGAAATCCCATCTCTACTAAAAATACAAAAATTAGCTGGGTGTGATGGTGGGTGCCTGTAATCCCAGTTACTTGGGAGGCTGAGGCAGGAGAATGCTTGAACCTGGGAGGTGGAGGCTGCAGTGAGCCAAGATCGCACCACTGCATTATAGTAGGCAACAGAGTGAGACTCTTCCTCAAAAAAATAAAATAAAATAGGGCCAGGCATGGTGGCTCATGCCTGTAATCCCAGCACTTTGGGAGGCTGAGGAGGGTGGATCACAAGGTCAGGAGTTCAAGACCAGCCTGGCCAACATGATGAAACCCCATCTCTACTAAAGATACAAAAAATTAGCTGGTCGTGGTGGTGGATGCCTGTAATCCCAGCTACTCGGGAGGCTGAGGCAAGAGAATTGCTTGAACCCAGGAGGCGGAGGTTGCAATGAGCCAAGTTTCCTTTTTTAAACAAAAGGAAAAAAAAAATCCCAGCTACTCGGGTGGCTGAGGGAGAATTGCTTGAACCCAGGAGGCGGAGGTTGTAGTGAGCCAAGGTCTGCCAATGCACTCCAGCAAGACTCTGTCTCAAAAAAAAAAAGGAAAAAAGGCGGGGCGCAGTGACTCATGCCTGTAATCTTAGCACTTTGGGAGGCTGAGGCAGGTGGATCTCAAGGTCGGGAGATTAAGACCATCCTGGCCAACATGGTGAAACACCATCTCGACTAAGAAATATAAAAATTAGCTGGGCGTGGTGACGGGCACCTGTAGTCCCAGCTACTCAGGAGGCTGAGGCAGGAGAATCGCTTGAACCCGGGAGGCAGAGGTTTCCGTGAGAAGGATGGTCCCACTGCACTCCAGCCGGGCAACAGAGCCAGACTCCATCTCAAAAAAATAAAAATAAACAAGGAAATATAACAAATAAACTAAAGAAGACTAACAGTCAGTGGCAGCTGGTGTGTATGTGATGCTGTTGCTCTGCTTCTTCCAGGGACACGGCCAACACGGTGAAGGAAAAGTTCGGGAGGAAGCTTTACGAATCCTTGCTGGTGTGAGTGCCCCGCCCTCAGCCCTACGCCCTCCTAGGCCCTGATAACCCTCTCCTCACTCGGTTCTCACTTGCATGCGCCTGCTCGCCTTGCAGTGGGAGCCTTCCGGACATGAACAAGATGCTGGATAAGGAAGATTTCACCATGATGAAGAGAGCCATCTTTGCCACGCAGGTATGGATGGGCCCTCTGTGCAGATAGATGGCCATTCCCGGCAGCCCCAGAGGCAGCTTGCCACACCGGCTCAGACCCCCGAGATTGCTGGGAGTGCTGCTTTCTCCTGAAGACCTTTATTAAGGGATCTATTCTAAGGTCCACAGAAGGGTGTGTGCTGACTGGTAGAACTTCAATTCCCAGAGGCACTTAGGACAGGCAGTTTTTGTGGCTTATTCTGCCATGGAGGTTGCTGGGAGTTGTGGTTTCTCTGGGACTCTGGAATCAATGAACAAAGGGAAGCGTCCTTTCCTTTCCCTTTCCTTTCTTCTTTCCTTCCTTCTTTCTTTTTTTTTTATTGAGGTGGAGTTTCGCTCTCGTTACCCAGGCTGGAGTGCAATGGCACGATCTCTGCTCACCGCAACCTCCACCTCCTGGGTTCAGGCAATTCTCCTGCCTGGGCCTCCTGAGTAGCTGGGATTACAGGCACGCGCCACCATGCCCAGCTAACTTTTTGGACTTTTTGGTAGAGATGGGATTTCACCATGTTGACCAGGATGGTCTCGATCTCTCTCTTTTTTTTTTTTTTCTAGACGGAGTTTCGCTCTTGTTACCCAGGCTGGAGTGCAATGGTGTGATCTCGGCACACCCCAACCTCCGCCTCCTGACTTCAGGCAATTCTCCTGCCTCAGCCTCCCGAGTAGCTGGGACTACAGGCGTGCGCCACCATGCCCAGCTAATTTTTTGTATTTTCAGTAGAGATGGGGTTTCACCTTGTTGACCAGGATGGTCTTGATCTCTTGACCTCGTGATCCACCTGCCTCGACCTCCCAAAGTGCTGGGATTACAGGCATGAGCTACCGCACCTGGCCTCCTTCTTTCTTTCAACAGAGTCTCGCTCTGTCACCCAGGCAGGAGTGCAGTGGTGTGATCTCAGTTGACTGCAACCTCTGCCTCCTGGGTTCAGGAGATTCTCCTACCTCAGCTTCCCAAGTAGCTGGGATTACAGGCACCTCCCACCACCCCTGGCTAATTTTTGTATTTTTAGTAGAGACCGGGTTTCGCCATGTTGGCCAGGCTGGTCTCAAACTCCTGACCTCAGGTGATCTGCCTGCCTCAGCCTCCCAAAGTGCTGGGATTACAGGCGTGAGCTACCGCACCTGGCCTCCTTCTTTCTTTCAACAGAGTCTCGCTCTGTCACCCAGGCAGGAGTGCAGTGGTGTGATCTCAGTTGACTGCAACCTCTGCCTCCTGGGTTCAGGAGATTCTCCTACCTCAGCTTCCCAAGTAGCTGGGATTACAGGCACCTCCCACCACCCCTGGCTAATTTTTGTATTTTTAGTAGAGACCGGGTTTCGCCGTGTTGGCCAGGCTGGTCTCAAACTCCTGACCTCAAGTGATCTGCCTGCCTCAGCCTCCCAAAGTGCTGGGATTACAGGTGTGAGCCACTGTTCCCAGCCCAAAGGGAAATTTGAAAGGAAGTGTAGAAAGTTGGCTGGAAGGCCGTAGGGAGTTATGATTATGCCACTGCACTCCAGCCTGGGCGACAGAGCGAGACTGAGACACACACACACACACACAAACGAAAGAGGAAAAAGAAAGAAAAGTCAAGACAGCCATATAAAAGAATTACACCCTTGCTGGGTGAGGTGGCTCATGCCTGTAATCCTAGCACTTTGGAAGGTCGAGGCAGTCAGATCATAAGGAAAAGAGATCGAGACCATCCTGGCCAACATAGTGAAACCCCGTCTTTACTAACAATACAAAAATTAGCCGAGCACATTAGCGCGCACCTGTAATCCCAGCTACTCTGGAGGCTGAGGCAGGAGAATCACTCGATCTTGGGAGGCGGAGGTTACAGTGAGCCGAGATCGCGCTATTGCGCTCCAGCCTGGGTGACAGAGCAAGACTCCATCTTAAAAAAAAAAAAAAAAAAGAGGCCGGGCGCGGTGGCTCAAGCCTGTAATCCCAGCACTTTGGGAGGCCGAGGCGGGTGGATCACGAGGTCAAGAGATCGAGACCATCCAGGTCAACATGGTGAAACCCCGTCTCTACTAAAGATACAAAAAATTAGCTGGGCACGGTGGCGCGTGCCTGTAATCCCAGCTACTCGGGAGGCTGAGGCAGGAGAATTGCCTGAACCGAGGAGGCGGAGGTTGCGGTGAGCCGAGATCGCGCCATTGCACTCCAGCCTGGTAAACAACAGCAAAAACCCCCCACAAAAAAAAAAAAAAAAAAAAAAAAAGAATCGCAACTCCCAGCTCTCTTTCGGCCTTGCTGCACACGGCTCCACCTCAGCCCCTAAAATTGCTGGGTTTTGGGACAGAGTCAGGAGGTGAGTAAAAACACCCAGCTTTCTCCAGAAAACATTGCGAACTCTCAGCAGCTGCAGCCTTTCTTACTCTAGAGCCTGTGTGTTGGTCCCCAGACACCGCTGGGAATTGTAGCTGCTTTAGATTCCTTACTTCAGAGAGAATTGGCTTTTATAAAATGAGAACTACAACTCCCAGCAGCCCCTGCTGGCCTTCTGGGGTAGTGACTCTTCCCTTGTCCAAAGGCTTCTGGGAGTTAGAGTTCTTTCATTCTCTGGGGTCCAAAGGACTAAAGTACTTGCGATCTACATTGCTGAGCCATTTCCTGGGAAATGGAAACCTAGACCACTAAGCTGTACAAACAAAACGTGAACTGCTTTTGGCTCACTTATACTTTCCAATAGTCCCTAAGGCACCAATTATAGGCTCTGCATTGTATTGACATCTGTGGACAAAGAATAAAAACATCCTCCTTACCATTGAGTGATTTATAAGTTGATGAGGGCAGGATTACTATACTTTAATGTATAATACTTGGTTTGAATTAACAAGTTATTTAACCTCCCTGAGTCTTAATATGAATGTTTCTCCCATGGGGCTGCTGGGAGTTGTAGTTTCTCAGGCCCCTAGACTAAATAGAGTGACGGTAAGTAAAATCTTTAATGAGCTATGATGGAACAGTTGCAAAGAACTATACACCCCAGTAGTCCCTAGGGCTTTCTATCACTAGCTCTGTCTTGCTCCAGTGACTCTTGGAAATTGCGGTTTCTTTGAGCCTCTGTTAGGGTTTGAGGTGAATTTTCACAAGGAAACTACAATTCCCAGCAGCCTCCAAAACTTGCCGCCATATTAGCACAGTCTCCACCCCCATTGACTGGGGATAGTTACACTTCCCTTTGGTTTCTTTAACGATAGAGCCAAGAGCACAGAACAAGCTAACTACAGCTCAAAGTCCTTGTTAGTAAGGCTGTTGTTAACGCTGGCTTTGCCTCAAACACAGCTGGGAATTGTAGTTCTTTTAAGCTCATGGTGCTTAAGGGAAAGAAAACGTTTACAGGCCAGGTGTTGTGGCTCACGTCTGTAATCCCAGCGCTTTGGGAGGTCGAGATGGGTGCATTGTTTGAGCCCAAGGGTTCGAGACCAGCCTCGAACATCAAATATTGACATCCCATCTTCATAAAAAAATTTTTTTTCTTTAATGAGGCTGGGTGCGGTGGCTTATGCCTGTGATCCCAGCACTTTGAGAGGCCGAGGCAGGTGGATCACCTGAGGTCAGGCGTTACAGACCAGCCTGACCAACATGATGAAACCCCATCCTTAAAAAAAGAAAGAAAAAGAAAAAAGAGAGAGAGAGCCGGGAGCGGTGGCTTTTGCCTGTAATATCAGCACTTTGGGAGGCTAAGGTGGGCGGATCACGAGGTCGAGAGTTTGAGACCAGCCTGGTCAGCATGGTGAAATCCCGTCTCTACTAAAAATACAAAAAATTAGGCCGGGCGCGGTGGCTCAAGCCTGTAATCCCAGCACTTTGGGAGGCCGAGGCAGGTGGATCACGAGGTCAAAAGATCGAGACCATCCTGGTCAACATGGTGAAACCCCGTCTCTACTAAAAAAAATACAAAAGATTAGCTGGGCATAGTGGCACGTGCCTGTAATCCAGCTATTCAGGAGGCTGAGGAAGGAGAATTGCCTGAACCCAGGAGGCGGAGGTTGCAGTGAGCCGAGATCGCACCATTGCACTCCAGCCTGGGTAACAAGAGCGAAACTCCGTCTCAAAAAAAAAAGAAGAAGAAGAAAGAGAGAAAACCTTTATGGGTTTACTAGAGACTAATGGGGACCCACAGGACCTGGTAATCACTTGGGTTTATGGCTGCGCAGCCTGGGCACTTGTGGTCTCCTGGGCTCCCCCAGGGTCTCAGCATGGCTCATGGGGAAGTAGGGAGCCCCTGTAACTTCCATGACCCCCTACCCTTCTTGTGGCTCCTACAGCGGCAGTCCTTCCCCCCGGTGTGCACCCACAATATGCTGGACGACTCCTCAGACCCCATCCTGACCACCATCCGCCGAACTGGCCTCTTCAACAGCAGTGCCGACAGGGTGAAGGTGAAGGCATTGGCCACGGCTGGGTTGGGCACGGCAGAGGGAAGGGGTTGGGTCCTGGGCCTCACACACTCCATTCCCCCATACGTTTTATCAAATGCATTGCTGTGTTTAGAAAGAACCCTGGCTTCTGAGGCAAACAGACTGGGGTTTGAACATGGGTCCTGCCAAACACATGCTGTGTGACGTTAGACAAGCTTCTTACCCTTTCTGGGCCACCTTGGGATCTCAGGGCTTAGCTAAATAAAGTGCTTGGGCTGAGCCCTTCTTTTTCACTACCAGGTGATTTTCCACCCGGAGTTCCTCTCCTCCACAAGCCCCCTGCTCCCTGTGGACTATGAGGAGTTTGTCCGTGGCTGTCACCTTGGGGTCTTCCCCTCCTACTATGAACCTTGGGGCTACACGCCGGGTGAGTGTAGTGGGTAGGGGACGGCGTGGTCATGGGGTTAGTGAGATCTGGGGCATGGCACTGGGCTTCTCTGAGCCTCTTTCCTCCTCTGCAAAACAAGAACGGTGGTGATAATCGTTCTGCTGCAGCACGTGCTTGTGTGACATGGTAGCTCATGAACTGAGAAACTACAAGGCTCAGCTGTTTTATTTATTTACGTTTTTGAGACCAAGTCTCACTCTGCTGCTCAGGCTGGAGTACAATGGCACGATCTTGGCTCACAGCAACTTCTACCTCCCGGGTTCAAGCAATTCTCCTGCCTCAGTCTCCCTAGTAGCTAGGACTACTGGCAAGTGCCACCACGCCTGGCTAACTTTTGTATTTTTAGTAGAGACGGGGTTTCACCACATTGGCCACGCTGGTCTTGAACTCCTGACCTTGTGATCCACCTGCCTCGGCCTCCCAAAGTGCTGGGATTACAAGCATGAGCCACCGTGCCCAGCCAAAGGCTGAGTTTTGAGGAGGAGGTAGTGTCAAAGGGATGCCACGGTTCACACCGATCTCTCCAGGGCCTGGGCATACGGCTCCCCAGACAGCAGCAACAATCTCACACACAGCTGAGAGTGGCCCAGTCCCCTCCCAAGCCATGCCCAGTCCCCTCCCAAGCCATGCCCAGTGCCCATCAACTCCACCTTCCTCTTGTTTGTTCACGTTAGCCAATGTTGTTAAAGCTAGATTAAGTGCTATTTCCTAGTTTATTAGTAATTTTTTGTTTGTTTGTTTTGAGACGGAGTTTCGCTGTTGTTACCCAGGCTGTAGTGCAATGGCGCGATCTCGGCTCACCGCAACCTCCGCCTCCTGGGTTCAAGCAATTCTCCTGCCTCAGCCTCCCAAGTAGCTGGGACTACAGGCGCGCACCACCATGCCCAGCTAATTTTTGTATTTTTAGTAGAGACGGGGTTTCACCTTGTTGACCAGGATGGTCTCGATCTCTTGACCTCGTGATCCACCCGCCTCGGCCTCCCAAAGTGCTGGGATTATAGGCGTGAGCCACCGCGCCCGGCCTAAATAACATTATCTAGTTTAAAAGCCATTAATTTTTTTTTTTTTTAGACGGAGTTTTTCGCTTGTTACCCAGGCTGGAGTACAATGGTACGATCTCGGCTCACCGCAACCTCCGCCTCCTGGGTTCAGGAAGTTCTCCTGCCTCAGCCTCCTGAGTAGCTGGGATTACAGGCACGCGCCACCATGCCCAGCTAATCTTTTGTATTTTTAGTAGAGACGGGGTTTCACCATGTTGACCAGGATGGTCTCGATCTCTTGACCTTGTGATCTACCCGCCTCGGCCTCCGAAAGTGCTGGGATTACAGGCGTGAGCCACCGCGCCCGGCCCTGTTTATTAGTAGTTTAAAGGTCTTGCAAACTGTGCTTGTGTGATATTAATTAGGAATCAGCCCCAATTCTCTTTTTCCCATACTTTTTCTTTTATTTTGGAGACCAAGCTGGAGTGCAATGCCACGATCTCACCTCTGCATCCTGGGTTCAAGCCATTCTCCTGCCTCAGCCTCCCGAGTAGCTGGGATTATAGGCACCAGCCACCATACCCGGCTAATTTTTGTATTTTCAGTAGAGATGGGGTTCCATCATGTTGGCCAGGCTGGTCTCGAACTCCTGACCTCAGGTGATCCACCTGCCTTGGCCTCCCAAAGTGCTGGGATTACAGGCGTGAGTCACCAAGCCCGGCCAGCCTTGTTTTATAGATAGATTGATTGATATATATATATTGATAAATCTATTTTCACATTGCTATTTAAAAAAAAATTCGAGACTGGGTAATTTATAACAGAAAGAGGTTTTTTTGCTTGTTTTTGAGACAGAGTCTCTCTCTGCTGCCCAGGCTGGAGTGCAGGGGCGTGATCTCGGCTCACTCCAACGTCCACCTCCTCGGTTAAAGTAATTCTCCTGCCTCAGCCACCTGAGTAGCTGGGAGTACAGGCGCTTGCCACCACACCTGGCTAATTTTTTGTATTTTAGGTAGAGACGGGGTTTCACTATGTTGGTCAGGCTGGTCTCAAATGCCTGACTTAGTGACCCACCCGCCTGGGCTTCCCAAGGTGCTGGGTTTACAGGCATGAGCCACCGCATCTGTCCAACAGAAAGAGGTTTAATTGACTCACAGTTCCACATGGCTGGGGAGGTCTCAGGAAACTTAGTCATGGCAGAAGCGAAAGCAAGGACCTTCTTCCCATGGTGGCGGGCGAGAGAAGCGTGTGAGGGTGCGAGAAAAACCACCATTTACAAAAGCACGAGATCTCGTGAGAATTCACCCACCATCGCGAGAACAGCAGGGAGGACCCACCCCCATAATCCACTCATTTTCCTCCCTCAACTCGTAGGGATTACATTTCGAGATGAAATTTGGGTGGGGACACAGAGCCAAACCATATCATACATGTCTATTTAATACTTTTTACTAGGCCGGGCGCCGTGGCTCACGCCTGTAATCCCCGCACTCTGGGAGGCCGAGGCGGGTGGATCACGAGGTCAGGAGATCGAGACCATCCTGGTCAACATGGTGAAACCCCGTCTCTACTAAAAATACAAAAAATTAGCTGGGCATGGTGGTGTGTGCTTGTAATCCCAGCTACTCAGGAGGCTGAGGCAGGAGAATCGCCTGAACCCAGGAGGCAGAGGTTGCGGTGAGCCGAGATCGCGCCATTGCACTCCAGCCTGGGTAACAAGAGCGAAACTCCGTCTCAAAAAAATAAAATAAATAAAACAAAATAAAAAATTTAAAAATAAATAAATAAATACTTTTTACTGTTTATTTGTTTGTTTTTTTGAGATGGGGGTATTACTGTGTTGCCCAGGCTGACCTGGAACTCCTAGGCTCAGGTGATGCTCCTGTGTCAGCCTCTTGAGTCTGTCATCAGGGGTGTGCTCCACTATGCCCGACAGACCTATTATATTTAGTGTCTACTTTTGCAGTTTACAGAGGTTTTTAGGAACACTTATATAAGAATTATAGGTCAGGCAGGGCACGGTGGCTCACACCTGCAATCCCAGCACTTTGGGAGGCTGAGGTGGGAGGATCGCTTGAGTTCAGGAGTTTGAGACCAGCATGGCCAACATGGTGAAACCCCATCTCTACTAAAAATACAAAAAATTAGCCAGGCGTGGTGGCACATGCCTGTTAATTCCAGCTCCTTGGGAGGTTGAGGTGGGAGAATCGCTTGAACCCGAGAGGTGGAGGTTGCAGTGAGCTGAGATCGCGCCACTGCACTCTAGCCTGGGTGACAAAATCAGACCCTGTCTCAAAAAAAAAAAAAAAAAAAAAAATTAATAGGTCAGAAGCAGTGGCTCACATCTATAATCCTAGCACCTTGGAAGGCTGAGATGGGAGGATATCTTGAGCCCAGGAGTTCAAGACCAGCTTGGATAACATGGTGAGACTCTGTCTCTACAAACGGTTTATTTTTATTTTTTTGTTTTTAAATCAGCCAGGTGTACTGTTGTGTGCCTGTAGCCCCAGCTGCTCAGGTGGCTGAGGTGGGAGGATTGCTTGAACCTAGGAGGTCCAGGCTGCAGTGAGCTCTGGGCAAGCCACTCTTCTCCAGCTTTGGGTGGCAAAGTGAGACCTTGTCTCAAAAAAAAAAAAAAAAAAAAAAAAGCATTAGGCTGGGTAGGGTGGCTCACACCTGTATCCCACCACTTTGGGAAGCCGAGACGGGTGGATCACCTGAGGTCAGGAGTTCGAGACCAGCCTAAGAGTACAATAATTAGCTGGGCACGGTGGCATGCGCCTGTAGTCTGAGGTAACCAGGCAGCTGAGGCATGAGAATTGCTTGAACCCAAGAAGTGGAGGTTGCAGTGAGCGGAGATTGTGCCACTGCCCTACAACTTGGGTGACAGAGTGAAACCCTGTCTCAAAAAAATTAAAAAAGCATAAAAATCCGTTAAGAAATTATAATACATCCCTTGAACTATTTCTCAAGGTTGTTAAAGGTATTAAAACATACTAGATGCTCTGTACACAGGGACACTAATAATGAGAGGCCTTATCTGATCCCCCATCAAAATAGAGCAAGTCTGTCCAAAATGCTGGCACAGAAAGTATCTTACAGGTTGTGACAGTCCAGTAGAATGATGGACCTTGGCCCAGTCCCACAGGTGGTGAGAGTTAGGTCAAATGGACATTGGGATGCCCGATAAATTAGCATACTTATCTCCCAACTATAGACTTTCCCACATCCCGAGTTTCTGGAGCAGGTAATTGTCTTTTCCAGCCTCTTAGCGGCCCCGCTGAGAAATAGGGAAAGTCACAGCTTGGTTGCGGGGGCTCCGCGACGCTCTGCACAGCGCCTGGCACTTGGTGCAGGAGCCACTAGAGGGCGCTGTGGAGGCTTCTATTGCGATTAAGACGGTAGGAGGTGGGGGAAGCTAAGTGGATCTCTCTCGCGCCTTCCCGCAGCTGAGTGCACGGTTATGGGCATCCCCAGTATCTCCACCAATCTCTCCGGCTTTGGCTGCTTCATGGAGGAACACATCGCAGACCCCTCAGCCTACGGTCAGCACCCAGGCCCCTGAGGATTCCAGAAGGGGGCTTGAGAACAGGGGATTGAGACCCCTGGATCCTGGGAAGGAGGAGCGTGCACCCTTGGGACCCGGGGGCACCAGGAGATGGGGTGGGCTCTCGGGCCCCTGGGAGAGGAGGGGTCCTGGTGCCACAGAGTCCTGGAGACAATGCAGATCTCCTCAGGACGTTTTCTGAACCCGGGTCCTGGCCTCCACAGGCATCTACATTCTGGACCGGCGGTTCCGCAGCCTGGATGATTCCTGCTCGCAGCTCACCTCCTTCCTCTACAGCTTCTGTCAGCAGAGCCGGCGGCAGCGTATCATCCAGCGGAACCGCACAGAGCGCCTCTCTGACCTTCTGGACTGGAAATACCTAGGCCGGGTAGGACCTCCTTTCTTACTCTTTACTGGCAAATCAGCCGCTCCTGGCTCTGGGTCTTTGGTGCAGGGTGAAGGTCCTCGTTCCACTTGTAACAGTTGCTGTCTCTTCTCTTTTTTTTGAGACGAAATTTCGCTGTTGTTACCCAGGCTGGAGTGCAATGGCGCAATCTCGGCTCACCGCAACCTCCGCCTCCTGGGTTCAGGCAATTCTCCTGCCTCAGCCTCCTGAGTAGCTGGGACTACAGGCGCGCACCATAATGCCCAGCTAATTTTTGTATTTTTAGTAGAGACGGGGTTTCACCTTGTTGACCAGGATGGTCTCGATCTCTCTGGACCTCGTGATCCACCCGCCTCGGCCTCCCAAAGTGCTGGGATTACAGGCGTGAGCCACCTAGCCTGGCCCCTTTAAAAAAAAAAAAAAAACTAAAAAAAGGAAGAACATTGATCAGGGATTCTCATTTGCATAAGGGTGTGGCCAAAGAGGTGCCTGACTTGAGAATTCGGCCCCCGTTCGCGGGCTGTGGCCCAGAAACTGTCTATTCACAGATCTGCTTATCTGCATAAGGGGTGGCGCCAGATGGGTCATTTGCTTAGGGACAGGCTCAACGGTGCCGCAGTGTGCTCATCTGCATAAAGGGTGTGGCCAGGACTCACCACCCCCATCATCTGCCTGGGGGTGGGGTCTGTGTCTCACGTCCTCTGCCCCCTCCCCTCCTTTCCCCTAGTACTACATGTCCGCACGACACATGGCGCTGTCCAAGGCCTTTCCAGAGCACTTCACCTACGAGCCCAACGAGGCGGATGCGGTGAGTGGACCCTGGATTTCTGCTTAGCCAGGAGCTAAAGGGCTGGGCTTGGGTGGGACGGGGGTCCCTCCCGGAGTGGGAAGGCCTCGAGGTGGCTGGAAACCTGGGTGGGATTGAGGTTCTCAGCTCACTCTGGTTTGTACCCACAACCCCGTGTGCAGACCCAGGGGTACCGCTACCCACGGCCAGCCTCGGTGCCACCGTCGCCCTCGCTGTCACGACACTCCAGCCCGCACCAAAGCGAGGACGAGGAGGATCCCCGGAACGGGCCGCTGGAGGAAGACGGCGAGCGCTACGATGAGGACGAGGAGGCCGCCAAGGACCGGCGCAACATCCGTGCACCAGAGTGGCCGCGCCGCGCCTCCTGCACCTCCTCCACCAGCGGGAGCAAGCGTAACTCTGTGGACACGGTCACCTCCAGCTCGCTCAGCACCCCCAGCGAGCCCCTCAGCCCCACCAGCTCCCTGGGCGAGGAGCGCAATTAAGTACCCCCCACCAAACTCCCCGCCTGTCCTGCCTCCCTGCTCCAGAGAGAGGATGCAGAAGGGCTCTGCTCCTAAACCCCCGCTCCAGATCCCCACTGGGCATGGTCCCACAGTCCCCTCACCCAGTCCTCCAAACACTCCAGCCCCTCCAGCTCCACTTTCCGAGTTCCTGCACTCCAGAGTCCACAAAGCCGTGCCTTTCTCTGGTTCCAGAATCCATAAGCCCCGCCCTGGAATCCCCGAGCCTGGACTGCTTCCCAGGGGCCAGGAATCTGCCGTTACTCTGCCGTGGTGCCAGAGGTTTTAGGAAACCTGGCATGGTGCTTTCGGGTCTGGGGCTCCTATGCCCCCATGTGGCTTGCAAATTCTGTAGCATACAGAGCAGCCACCTTCCACCAAGTGGTGTCCCTGCTCATGGAGGAATCAAGTCCAGAGCCAGGGTGCTTTCAGAGTTTGAAGGTAACCAAGAGCAGATGGTCCTCCATCTCAACTCCAGAACTTGGGCTCTGGGATGGGCTCATGTTCTAGACCTCCCTGGCCTGTCTGGCGCTGCCTAGAGGATCCCTCCATCTGGCTCCTGTCATCCTCTACACTTCGGCCCAGCCAGAGGTGGCAAAACCCCTTGGCTGCTCATTCTTTCTGGAGGGCACACAGTCTTGGTCCAGATGCCTTCCTATCTTTCTGGCCTTTTCTGGACCAGATCCTACTCCTCCTTTCTAAATATAAAAGCTCCCTCCAGGGAATGTGCCTGCAGGGGACAGAGCTGGCTGTCTGTCCCCCGCCCCCAACCTGGCTTATTCCCAACTGCTCAGCTCACTGTGAAACCACTGGGTTCTAGGTCCCGCCTTCTAGATCTGGAACCGTCCCACTTTGCTGCATTCTGGTCCCTTTCTCATGATCCAGAACTGAGGTCACTGGGTTCCAGAACCCCCACATTTACCTTGAAGCTCTTCCATCCCAGACTGTGCCCTGCCTCCAGCTTTGGTGAAAGGGAGGACCCCTCACGTGTGCTGTGCTGTGTCTGCACCGATTGGCTCTGCAGTTGGGAGGGGAGGGTAGGAGGGGTGTGATTGGAGTGTGTCCAGAGATGAGATGAAAAAAATATATCTATATTTAAGAATCCCAGGCGTGATTGGACATGAATGAACACTTGGTGGGCCTGGCTCTGACGTGCCCCCAACCCCACCCTGTCCCTGGTGTGAGCTCATCTTCCAATTCTAGAGAGACTTGGATTGCTGTTCTAAAATTCCAGAGTCATGCGTGGAAGGTACCTCTAATTGCTTACTTGGGACTTGATTTGCAAGTGGCAAAAATTAGGCTTAAGACATCTTTGGGCCAGGCGCGGTGGCTCACGCCTGTCTTCGCAGCACTTTGGGAGGCCGAGGTGGGTGGATCAGGAGGTCAAGAGATAGAGACCATCCTGGCCAACATGGTGAAACCCCGTCTCTACTATAATACAAAAGAAAATTAGCTGGGCATGGCAGCTCGCTCCTGTAGTCCCAGCTACTCGGGAGGCTGACACAGGAGAATCACTTGAAACCGGGAGGTGGAGGTCACAGTGAGCTGAGATCGCACCACTGCACTCCAGCCTTGGCGACGAGAGCAAAACTCTGTCTCAAAAAAGAAAAAAGACACAAAGGGGCTGTGTGACTGGGAGGAAGATCTATAAGCCAGCCATGAACTTGTGAACCTTGTGTGGCTTTGTGGTTTTTGTTTATTTGTTTGTCTGAGATTGTCTCTTGCCTTTCTCCCAGGCTGGAGTGCAGTGGTGCAATCTCAGCTCACTGTAACCTTCACTTCCTGGGTTTAAGCGATTCTCCTGCCTCAGCCCTCTGAGTAGCTGGGACTATAGGAGCACACCACTACATCTGGCTACTTTTTGTATTTCTAGTAAAGATGGGGTTTCACCATATTAACCAGGCTGGTCTCCCACTCCTGACCTCAGGTGATCCACCCGCCTCAGCCTCCCAAAGTGCTGGGATTACAGATGTGAGCCACTGCGCCTGGCCTGTGTAGCTATTTAAATTAAATGTAGTTTAATTAAATGTAGTTTCTTGGTGGCACTAGCCATATGTAGGTGTTCAGTGGTCACATATGGTTCTTGGCTACCCTATCTGACATCGCAGATGAACAGCACTGGCTTAAAGCATGTTTCTAGGATTCTGGTCTGTGTCACTATCCTCTGGATGGTTCTATTTTGGGGAAAATCTTTTCCCTGTTATTCTGGTCTTCCCTAGGCCATGTGTGCGTCTCTGAACCAATCACTGCTCAGGCAAGCCGAGGGCTGATTCTCTGGATTTACACAGAAGCACTCCTGCCAACCCCCCCAGTCACGAATGGTCACCAGTGTGTGATGACGGGAGACGCATGGTCCTGAGCAGGCAAAACAACAGGTGTCCAGAGCCACTTTTGTTTTTGAGACCGTCTTGCTCTCGCCAGGCTGCAGTGCAGTGGCCCGATCTTGGCTCACTGCAACCTCCGCCTCCCGGGTTCAAATGATTCTCCTGCCCCAGCCTCCTGAGTAGCTGGGATTACAGGCGTGTACCACCACACCCAGCTAATTTTTGTATTTTTAGTATAGGTGGGGTTTCACCACGTTGGCCAGGCTGGTCTCTACTGACCTCAAGTGGTCCGTCTACCTTGGCTTCCCAAAGTGCTGGGACTACAGGTGTGAACCACCGACCCCGCCACTTCTTTTTTTGACACAGGATCTCCCTCTGTATCCCAGAGTGGAGTGCAGCGGAGCAATCATGGCTCACTGCAGCCTCAACCTCCCAGGCTCAAGTGATCCTCCCGCCTCAGTCTCTCAAGTAGTGGGGACTATAGGCATGTACCACACCTGGTTACATTTATTTTTTTTTGTAAAGAATAGGGGTCTCCCTATGTTGCCCAGGCTGATCTCAAACTCCTGAGCTCAAGTGATCCTTCTCAAAGAACTAGGATTACAGGCTTGAACCACCCTGCCCGAGCCCCAGGAGAAGGGAAGGGGAGAGGTCAGGGCTGACACAGCAGTTTTGCAGCCTGGACCCAGCAGGTGTTTTTTTTTGTTTGTTTTGAGACAGAGTTTCGCTCTTGTTACCCAGGCTGGAGTGCAATGGTGCGATCTCGGCTCACCGCAACCTCCGCCTCCTGGGTTCAGGCAATTCTCCTGCCTCAGCCTCCTGAGTAGCTGGGATTACAGGCACGCGCCACCATGCCCAGCTAATTTTTGTATTTTTAGTAGAGACGGGGTTTCACCTTGTTGACCAGGATGGTCTTGATCTCTTGACCTTGTGATCCACCCGCCTCGGCCTCCCAAAGTGCTGGGATTACAGGCGTGAGCCACCGGGCCCAGCCTTCCCAGCAGGCGTTTTTTAATTTTAAGCTTCTTCAGTTCCCATTTGGAGAACCCAGCCCAAAGTTTCACATCCCATTTCTATGCGACGTGAACCCTAAACTCTAAACCCTTTGTCCAGCATTTCTTGGGCATCACATGTTTCCGGCCATTCAGTTCCACTCGCCAGTTCCTCTCTGTGCGCCTGACATGGGGATTACTGAAGCATGGGCCGTCACCTCCGAGCTTTGGAGCACATACCTGAGCGAGCCTCCGGGTTACCACACAGGTTGCATAGCAATAGCCCGTGTAAAGGGGCTATTGTAATAATGCCAACTGCTTCTCAGAATTGAGGCACTTTTTTTTTGTCTGGGCAAACCCTCCCTTGCCCAGGCTGGAGTGCAGTGGCATGTTATCAGTTCGCTGCAAAAACCTCCCTGAGGCAGACAGAATTTTCTTTAAGACAGAGTCTCTCTCTCTCGCCCAGGCTGGAGTGTCATGGTACAATCTCCGCTCACTGCCAACCTCTGCACCCAGGGTTCAAGTGATTCTCATACTTCAGCCTCCCAAGTAGCTGGGATTACAGGTGCCCACCACCTCTTTTTTTATTCTTTTTGGTATTTTTAGCAGAGACAGGGTTTCACCATGTTGGCCAGGCTGGTCTTCAACTCCTGACTTCAGATGACCGACCACCTTAGCCTCCCAAAGTGTTGGGATCACAGGTGTGAGCCACCACACCCGGCCATGGCACACAATATTTAAGAGATTGGCATGATGCCTGGCCTCACCATCACCCATTAAATAGGGCTGTTTCTGGCTACTGAGACCTAACAGATCTGTTTCCAGGGACCAACCTGAGTCTTAATTCAACTCCCTGAATTCTATCTCTACCATCTGGTAGGGACAGTTAACAGCCAGGCAAGCAGAGAACCCTCAGGCTCAACATAACCCACAGACAGCTCTTGTCTTAGAACAGATAAGAAAACCGGAGATGCAGCCAACGCCTTTTTCGCTGCCATCCCAATCCAGCCAGAAGCTTTATGAGAACAGATCCCACCTCATCTTCTGCACCAACCACACCACACACAAAACCACCAGCTGCTTCAAATAGCTTTATTTCCATTTGGTCCAAGGCTTGTAAGGGTAGTTAGAAAGCTGCCTAGTGGCTGGAGGGAGAGGCTTAGGCAGAAGCACTGTTACTTTGCAAAGGCCCTTCCTAAGTGGCCGGGCTCAGCAGGCTCTTAGTCGTGCTTGAGAGTGAGCCTTTCAAAGAGGTACTCGCCCAGCCCAGCCTGTGGGCCGGCCAGCCTGCGGAGGTTGGTCAGGTGGTCACCCATCTTCTTGATGATTTTCACTTCCTCATCTAGGAAGTGACTCTCCAGGAAGTCACAGAGCTGAGAGAAAAGAGGAAGAAATTAGAAACCCAGTCCCTGGAAAAGAGGGAGAGCTCCCAACTGCAGATTGAAATGTGACAGGTGTGAAATGTGGCTCTGAAGGAAATCTGCCCAAAGGGAGGCAAGGCTTGAGGGGTATGGTTGGGTAGCGATGGATGCAGTGGGTTCTTACATGGGGGTCCGTGCGGGCAGAACCCAGGGCATGAAGATCCAAAAGAGCCTGGTTCAGATTTTTCTCCAGGGCCATGGCGGCTTCCATGGCGTCCAGGGTTTTACCCCACTCATCTTGAGCCGGCTTCTATACAGGAGGGAAAGTGCTCAGAATACACACACCGGCACAAAGAACCAAAGTGACATTTCCCAAGAGTCGTTGGGGATCAAAAGGACATGTGACCCTTGTATTTATCACTCCGAACTCCGTCTTTTTTTTTTTTAAATGGGGTTTCACCATGATGGCCAGGCTGGTGCCACCGCGCCCGGCTACTCCGTCCTATCTTTTACAACGACATCTATCGAAGACCACGCAGCGGTGTGGACTGCCGCATCATGGGGGCACTGCACGACGTGAGACACCATTTCCAGCTGTAAGAACGCTTACAAAACCGAACTCAATCTCCCAGAAGCCCACGCGACATCTAAGCCCACAAGCCAAGGCGCCTCGCGCGCACGGACTGCTGGGCGATGTAGTCCATTACCCTCAAGCCAGTTACCTTGATGTCCTGAAAGAGAGCGCGGCCGCCACGCTGGTTTTGCATCTTCAGGAGACGCTCATAGCCCTCGCGTTTCTCCTCGGCCAATTCGCGGAAGAAGTGGCTCACGCCTTCCAGAGCTACATCATCGCGGTCGAAATAGTAGCCCTGCGGGAAGAGATGGAGGGAACAGTGGTTAGCGAGAGGCGAGGCCAGGGGGAACTCCGCCCTCTGTTTACCCGACCGGACAAAGAAAGCCGGCGCCTGCGCCGAGGGCCGGAGGTGCGCAGTTGGAGGAAATTAGGGCCAGGGGCGTCCCGGGGACTCACCAGAGAGAGGTAGGTGTAGGAGGCCTGCAGGTACACATTGACCAGGTGGTTGACGGCTGCCTCCACGTCGGTGGAATAATTCTGACGAATCTGGGAGCTCATGGTTGGTTGGCAAAAAGGAGCTAACCACAAAAACGGTGTTAGGTTCCCAGAAGCAGGAGATGACCGAGAAGATGGTCCCGGAGGTTGCAACTGGAGAGGAAACTGGAGGGCGGTCGGAGGCTGGAAGAAAGAGTCCCCGGGATCTGTTCCGTCCAAACACTGTTGAAGCAAGAGACAGATCCGCGGGACCGCCGAACTGCTATGGGACGTGGCGAGGGCGGCTCCCTTTATAGTGCGCGGGCCCTCGGGGGCGGGGCGCTCGGGGCGGGCGATCGGCCAATCTGCGGTGGCAGGAGGCGGGACCGAAGGCCGTGCCTGACCAATCCGGAGCAGAAAGGAGTCTCAGCCCCCGACCCCAAGCAGGGCGAAGTCACGCGCCTGTAACCCGAGGCTGTTGTGAAATGGGGGATGGGGGTTGGGGGCCCTGGGCCTGATTCAGGGAAGTGAAGGGTTTCATGAGCGGGCTGAGGGTCCCTCTGGGAGCGAGAGTTGTATAGGAGCATTAAGAGCCCTGTGAACTGATGAGCCTGGGGTCCTGGGGTGTCTCGGGAAAGTAAGTCAGATTCTGGGGTTTCCGAGGGCATGGATTTTTTCTGGAACCTTGAGTCTGGAGAGGGGCACCTCAGAGGCGCAGAGAGGATCTCTAGTTGTCCTAGGTTTGCGCTGCGAGATAAGGGGGTCTCGGGATCCTTGGGAAGTTTGAAAGGCTGTAGGTGAACCCCTGGGGATCTCTGGGAGACGGAGGGTTGGGGGGACTGGAGCCCTGGGGTTTACAGAGGCGAGGGTTTACGATGCAAAGTCTGTATTTTTTTGGAGCCCTCCCAGAAGAGATCTTTACGTCTTTGAGATTCTCTGCAGCTTGGAAAGGGCAGTTGTTCTGGAGCCGTGGGGTTCACCCAGTGCTGGAAGCCCGGGAGGAGCATTGTACCAGGTGGGGTGACTTCTGGAACGCTGGACAGCCTTCTGGACCCTCCCAAGATTGGCTGGGCCTTTGGGGATACCTTGGAGCTCTTTCAGGGGCCCAGTGCTTTCCTGGGAGTGGACACAGGGAGGAATGCAATGTCTCTTTCGAGCTTTGCAGTGTCTCTGGGGCTGCATTTCCTGGGGGCTGTTTTGAAGCCAACCCCCTGGCCTCGAGAACTTTGAGAATTCTCCTTGGCCCTGAAACAATCTCTAAAGTTGCCCCAGTGTCTTGGCTGACATGTGCTCCTTCAGGCCCACCAAGAGAAGCTCTGCGTTGTGGACCGATGGACGAGACATCTGTCGTCGGCTGATGCGGATTTTTTACGTGGGCCTGGTCCATGCTGATTTCTGGGAGACAGTTGGCACAAACATTGACCCTACTTAAGCACCCTGATCGAGGCAGCCGGTGCGCTGGGCAGGGAGCTGAAGCCACTGGAGTGTGGGGTGTGAGATCAGGTCCTGCCCTACCGAGAGCCGCTCCGAGCAGCCCCGGCGGGGCAGCCCCTGACCAAGGGGATCTGCAGATGCCTGGCCAGGCCGCTATCTGGGGTCCTTGTTGCAGGCAGCGGCTGCTGGGCTGCTGAGTCATGGTGAGCTCAGCGCAGGAAGGGGCTCCAAGGGGGACGGATGGGGGTGGGGCCACTGGCTGACCTCATCCCCTTGGCACTGCCTGACTTTTTTGGTGGGACCCTCAGAACCACGCTTGGCTCAGATCCAAGTCGGGCCCCCTCCCCCAAGGAAGCCGGCTGCGCGCTTTGTCTCCGTGTCTTTTTGGTTCCTGTCATGTTTTTTTCCCCTGGAATCCAGCCTGCGGCCATATTGTCTCCTCACTCTGGGACGTGGCTCAGTGTCCACTCATTGACCCTCTGCTCCTCCTTCTCCCAACTTGGGGTCACTGGGGAGAGTCCATGGACGAGGGGCAGCTGCCCAAAGCACCCGTGTTGACTGTGGAGCCCGAGTTACTCATTCACCAAATATCATACCTCAGCCCAGAGACCTTTCGTCTGCAGAGAGGGGCCTTGGCGCCTATAGGTGGAGGGAGAGGAGGGGCTGAGAGGGGGAAGGTCTGAAGGCCATGGAGAACGCGGGGTGGGAGACAGAGGCCCAGAGAAAGAGACTCAGAGAGAGGGGGACAGAGACCTAGAGGGGGGTGACAGAGATGGAGGAGGGGAACAGAGACAGAGAGGGGGACAGACCCAGAGAGAGAGGGGGGACAGTGACCCGGGGAGGGACAGAGATCCAGAAAGAGAGGGGACAGAGACCGGGGGGGGGGACAGAGATGGGGTTGGGGACAGTGACCCAGAGAGAGGAGGTACAGAGAGACCCAGGAGAGGAGGACAGAGACTCAAGGAAGGGGAGAGAGACCGAGAGAGGGGACAGAGATGGGGGGACAGAGACCCAGGAGAGGGAGACAGAGACTCAAGGAAGGAGAGAGACCCAGAGAGGGGACAGAGATGGGGAGGACAGACACAGGGATACAGTGACCCAAAGAGAGAGGAGGTACAGAGACCCAGGAGAGGGGGACAGAGACCCAGAAAAGGAAGGGGACAAAGACTCCAAGGACAGAGACTGGGGGGGCAGACAGTGACCCAGAGAGAGGGGGAGATACAGAGACCCAGGAGAGGGGGACAGACTCAGAGAAGGAAGGAGAAAGAGACCAGAGAGGGGACAGAGATGGGGGTCCAGACACTGGGGGGGACAATGACCCAGAGAGAGAGGGGGAGGTACAGAGACCCAGGAGAGGGGGACACTGACTCAGAGAAGGGGACAGAGACCCAGAGAGGGGGACAGAGATGGGGGGGTAACAGGGATCCAGAGAGAGGGGTCAGAGGTCTGGGGTGAGGGAAGAGGCCCAGAGAGAGCGGGCCAAAAGGTGGGGTGGGAAGAGAGACCCAGAAAGCAAAGACGGAGAGAGAAGTGGGGACAGAGACCCAGGGATGGGAGGGGGTAAAGACCCAGAGCGGGATGACAGAGCCTGGGAGAGGGGGCGAGAGAGCGAGAGAGACCTGTGACTCTAGATCCCACATCCTCTAACCCTCTTGTCCTCCCTCTGCCTGTGTCTAAGCTCACTGGGCCGCTGAGAGCACAGCATCTTCTTCCGGCTGTTCTTCTCCAGGGGGCCCCATCCAGCTATAGGGCCAGACCAGGTTCCTCCTCCTCGGCCCTGCCCTCCAGCCTTTCAGTTTCCAGCCAGGTCCCTTCCTCTCCATCCTCAGCTCAGCTCAGGGGGCCTCTCCCGTGGGCCCTCTCCTCCTGGTGTCCTCAGCCAGCGAAGTCGCCACCGAGCTCCAGAGCCCTCCCTGTTCCTGCAGTCCTCCCATCCCTCCTCCTCCACCCATTCCCCAGCTCAGTAAAGATGCAGCCTCCTGAGGTCCCCTGTGTAGCACCCCAGTCTCTGGCCCCCCGGGTGGCTGTGCTGTTCTGCCCCCACCTGCCTCCACCCGTGCACAGACCACCCTGGGCTGCGACAGATGTGCCACCAGGCACCCTCCTTTCCCCTTAGGACCGTGGGCTCCTGCAGGGCAGGGCCAGAACCAACTCATCCCTGACCCATAGACCTCAGGGCACCCCCAGAAAAAGATGACAAGGGAGTGCAGAGAGCCCCACACCTGAGCAGCTGGAATGAGCACCTCTAGGTGAGCAGACGGTGGGCCTGGCATGGGGCGGTGGGCAGGGCCAGTGTGAGGCCTGCTTTCCTGATGCACCGGGGAGCAGGGCAGAGGCCCAGTGACTCAGATGCTGAGGTGTGTCCCAAAGGAGGTTTATTACCCCTCCAGACCACTCCTCCCCACCCTCCCCAATAATTACAAAAGTAAGAAAAATGCCCATGTCCCCCAATTCCCACCCCTCCCCGAAAAATGCCATAATTTATGGAGGAAAAACAGTCCAAGACAGCTGGGGGCCTCAGCCCATGTTCTTCCAGATGGTAAGCGAGGCGGTGAGCACTCCAGCCACAAAGATGGTCACTGTCTGCCACGTGGGGGTCCCAAAGAAGTAGGAGAGGAGGCCATCCTGGAGAGGACATCAGCCGCTTCAGCGACTCAGCCAGGGGCAGCCCCTGGGTGAGCCCGGGAGGATGAGGGAGGGAGGAGGTCAGAAGGCGGGACTGGGGTCAGGGGACTAAGATGAATGGGCATTAAAGAGGTGGGCTTAGGCCAGGCACGGTGGCTCACACCTGTAATCCCAGCACTTTGAGAGGCTGAGGCGGGAGGATCGCTTGAGGCCAGGAGTTTGAGACCAACCTGGGCAACACAGCCAGACCCCTTCTCAGTGAAAAAAACAAAAGGAAAGAGTTGGCCTCAGAGGGTCATCAATGAACTTGAGTGATTCCAGACGGCAGTGGAGGCAGCACTCATCAAGTCAAGGTCACAGTGAGGTCAGGGGTCACTAGGTCAGCAGGGTAGATGAATCAGGGGTTGCTCAGACATGTAAGGAAATGCATTATAGACCACATCTGATGATCTGAAGATGGGCAGGGGCACCACTGTGACCTGCTTGGAAGGCCCAGGGTCCCAGAGGAGTCAGGGGAGGCTGGGCAGGAAGGGTAGAGGGGTCTCACCCAACCACCCTGGTCTTGGATCCAGCCCAACAGCCGCTCCCGGAGGAAGTCCAAAGTCCAGCCCATGATGGTTCTGATCAGCTCGGGCACCTTGGCACACAGGGCCTGTGGGGAGTAGAATAGGTATTAGGGACTGAACCTTGTCCCCACTGCCTGGAGATAGTGTCCCAAGCCTCCTTTCTCCATTCTTTGCCTCCCCTCGCAGATTTCTGCCACCCACAACTGAAGTCAGCTTCGAAAATTGTAAACATGGCAGGGGCAGCGGCTCATGCCTGTAATCCCAGCACTTTGGGAGGCCAAGGCGGTCAGATCACCTGAGGTCACGAGTTTGAGATCAGCCTGGCCAACATGGTGAAATCGCTCATTTCTGGCTAAACTAAAAATACAAAAAATTAGCCGGGCATGGTGGCAAGGGCCTGTAATCCCAGCTATTTGGAATGCTGCAGCAGGAGAACTGCTTGAACTTGGGAGGCAGAGGTTGCAGTGAGCCCAAATCGTGCCGCTGCACTCCAGTCTGGGCAACGGAGCAAGACTCAGTCTCAAAAAAAAAAAAAAAAAAAAAATGTAAGCAAGATCATGTTACTGTCAACTGCCCCACCCCGAGCCTTCTGTGGCTCCTCAGTACCCTCAGGATGAAGACCCAAAGGCACAGCGCAGCCCACAAGGCCTGTGTACAGGCTCCGTCCTGACCTCGTTCCACCTTTCCACTTCCTTTTTTGCGCCTTGCTGAGCTTCTTCCATTTTTTTTTTTTTTGTTAGAGACGGTCTCACTCTGTCACCCAGGATGGAATGCAGTGGCGCAATCTCAGTTCACTGCAAGCTCTGCCTCCCAGATTCAGGCAACTCTCCTGCCTCAGCCTCCCAAGTAGCTGGGATTACAGGCACCCGCCATCACACCAGGCTGTATTTTTAGTAGAGACAGGGTTTTACTGCAGGGCGCGGTGGCGAGTGCCTGTAGTCACAGCTACTCGGGAGGCTGAGGCTGCAGGATCACTTGAGTCCGGGAGTTCTGGGCTGTAGTGCACTATGCCAGGTTGCCTAAGGAGGGTGAACCAGCCCAAGCTGGAAATGGAGCAGGTCAAAACTCCCATGCTGATCAGTAGTGGGATCCCGCCTGTGAATAGCCACTGCACTCCGGCCTGGGCAACCTGGGGAGACCCCGTCTCTAGGGAAAAAAATAAAATAAAAGAAGACAGGGTTTCACCATGTTGGTCAGGCTGGTCTCAAACTCCTGACTTCAGGTGATCGATCTGCCTCGGCCTCCCAGAATGCTGGAATTACAGGTGTGAATCACCACACCTGGCCCCATTTTTTTCCAGGGCCAGGCGCAGTGGCTCACGCCTGTAATCCCAGCCCTTTGGGAGGCCGAGGTGGAGAGATCACCTGGGGTCGGCAGTTCGAGACCAGCCTGACCAACATCAAAAAACCACATCTCTACTTAAAAAAAAAAAAAAAAAAAAAAAAGCAAAATTAGCCAGGTTTGGTGGGGCATGCCTGTAATCTCAGCTACTTGGGAGGCGGAGGCAGGAGAATTTGCTTGAACCCAGGAGGCGGAGGTTGCGATGAGCAGAGATGGTGCCATTGCACTCCAGCCTGGGAAACCAGAGTGAAACTCTGTCTCAAAAAAAAAAAAAACAAAAAAAAAACTTCCCAAAATATCCCTTTCTGGGCCGGGTGCAGTGGCTCACATCTGTAATCCCAGCACTTTGGGAGGCCAAGGTGGGCAGATCACAAAGCCAGGAGTTCAAGACCAGCCTGGCCAATGTGGTAAAACCCCATCCATACTAAAAATACAAAAATTAGCCAGGAGTGATGGCAGGTGCCTGTAGTCCAGCTACTTGGGAGGCTGAGGAAGGAGAATCCCTTGAACCCAGTGGAGGCGAGGGCAGGGGAGGTGGGTGAAGGTTGCAGTGAGTTGAGATCACGCCAATGCACTCCAGCCTTGGTGTCAGAGCAAGACTGTGTCTCAAAAAAGAAAAAGGAAATGTCCCTTCCTGTTGGAGACCAGCCTGGGCAACACAGCAAGACCCCATCTTTATAAAAAAGGCTAATGAAACAGTCAGTGGGGCGTGGTGGCACATTCCTGTAGTCCCAGGTACTCTGGAGACTGAGGTGGAAGAACGGCTTGAGCCCAACCATTCAAGGCTGCAGGGAGCTCTAATCACTACTGTATTCCAGTCTGGGCAACACAGCAAGACCCCACCTCTTTTTTTTTTTTTTAATTTGAGATGGAGTCTTGCTCTGTTGCCCAGGCTGGAGTGCAACGGCACGATCTCGTCTCACTGCAACCTCCACCTCCCAGGTTCAAGCAATTCTCCTGCCCCAGCCTCTCAAGTAGCTGGGATTACAGGTGTGCACCACCACGCCCAGCTAATTTTTGTATTTTTAATTAGAGACGGAGTTTCATCCTGTTGGTCAGGCTGGTCTCCAACCCATGATCTCATGATCTGCCCGCCTCAGCCTCCCAAAGTGTTGGGATTACAGGCGTGAGCCACCGTGCCCGGCAACCCCATCTCTTAAAAAAAAAAAAAAAAAAAAAAACTCCCCCTACCCCTGCTGCTACTTGGGCCTGGGCCTGTTATCTCTCTCTCTCTCTCTTTTTTTTTTTGAGATACAGTTTAGTTCGTTGCCCAGGCTGAAATGCAATGGCGTGATCTCAGCTCACTGCAACCTCCACCTCCTGGGTTCAAGGGATTCTCCTGCCTCAGCCTCCCGAGTAGCTGGGATTATAGGCACGCGCCATCACACCTGACTAATTTTGTATTTTTGGTAGAGATCGGGGTTTCTCCATGTTGGTCAGGCTGGTCTTGAACTCCCGACTTCAGGTAATCTGCCTACCTTGGCCTCCCAAAGTGCTGGGATTACAGGCGTGGGCTGCTGCACCCAGCCGGACCTGTCGCCTTTCGGCAGGACTATGACAGGTGCCACCTCCCCAGCCTCCTTGCTTCTGCCCTGTGCCCTATGATCTCTTTTTGGCCAACAACAGCCAGGATCATTTCACCACCCCCTGCCCCGCTGTATTTTCTTATGTGAATCTTCATGAAGTTATAAAAGTTTCACAGTTATAAACCATAGAGCCGCCACCTAGATTCTATAGTTATTTTGCTACACAGACAGCCCCGCGCTTATGATGGTTTCACTTACAATTTGGACTTTTCTATGGGTTTATCAGGGCACGGAATGCATTTTCAGCTTATGTAATTTTCTTTTTTTTTTGAGACGGAGTTTCGCTCTTGTTACCCAGGCTGGAGTGCAATGGCGCGACCTCAGCTCACCGCAACCTCCGCCTCCTGGGTTCAGGCAATTCTCCTGCCTCAGCCTCCTGAGTAGCTGGTATTACAGGCGCGCACCACCATGCCCAGCTAATTTGTTGTATTTTTAGTAGAGACGGGGTTTCACCATGTTAACCAGGATGGTCTCGATCTCTTGAATTTGTGATCCACCCGCCTCGGCCTCCCAAAGTGCTGGGATTACGGGCTTGAGCCATCGCACCTGGCCTCTTTTCGTTTTCTTTGACGGAGTTTCGCTCTGTCGCCCAGGCTGGAATGCAGTGGCACGATCTTGGCTCACTGCGACCTCTGCCTCTCGGGTTCAAGCGATTCTCCTGCCTCAGCTTCCTGAGTAGCTCGGACTACAGGCACACGCCACGATGTCCAGCTAATTTTTTGTATTTTAGTAGAGACCAGGTTTCACCATGTTGGCCAGGATGGTCTCGAACCCCTGACCTCAGGTGATCCACCCGCCTCAGGCTCCCAAAGTGCTGGGATTACAGGGGTGAGCTACCACACCTAGCTCTTACTATTTTCAGTCTATGACTGGTTTACTAGGATGCAACACCATTGCAAATTGAGGAGCGCCTACACTTGCTAGAATAATCTCTTAAATTTATAAATCAGGTCACATCACTTCCTTATTTGAAACCAGCCAATCGCTCCCATCACACTCAGAGTAAAGCTAAAGGTTTTCCAGGTCAGGCGCGGTGGCTCATGCCAGTAATCCCAGCACTTTGGGAGGCCAAGGTGGGCAGATCACTTGAGGCCAGGAGTTTGAGACCAGCCTGGCCAACATGGCAACACCCCATCCCTACTAAAAATATAAAAACTAGCCAGGAGCGGTGGTGTACGCCTGTAGTTCCAGCGACTTGAGAGGCTGAAGCATGAGAGTCGCTTGAACCTGGGAGGCAGAGTTTGCAATGAGTCGAGATGGCACCACTGCACTCCAACCTGGGCAAGAAAGCGAGACTGTCTCAAAAAAAAAAAGGCAGCCAGGCGTGATGGCTCATAGCTGTAATCCCTGCACATTGGGAGGCTGAGGTGAAGGGATTATCTGAAGTTGGGAGTTTGAGACCAGCCTGAGCAACACGGAGAAACCATGTCTCTACTAAAAATACGAAATTAGCTGGGAGTGGTGGCACATGCCTGTAATCCCAGCTACTAGGGAGGCTGAAGCAGGAGAATCGCTTGAACCCAGGAGATGGAGGCTGTGGTGAGCTGAGATCATGCCATTGCCATTGCACTCCAGTCTAGGCAACAAGAGCAAAACTACGTCTCAAAAAAAAAAAAAGGCTGGCACAGTGGCTCACGTCTGTAATCCCAGCAGTTTGGGAGGTTGAGGCAGGCGGATCACCTGAAGTCAGGAGTTCAAGACCAGCCTGGTCAATATAGTGAAACCCCATCTCTACAAAAAAAAAAGTCTTTCCATCAGCCCAAAAGACTACATTCTGGTCCTGCCCAACTATGCCCTCCTTTCCCACCCTCTCCCCTGTTCACTCTGTTCCAACAGCACTGGCCTCCTCTCTACCGTCAAAAGATGAGGCTGTGTCCTACCTCAGGGCCTTTGCACTGGCTGTTCCCTCTACCAGATGCCTCCTCCCTCATCATGTAGATCACTGCATCCTTGGCATTCCAATTCCCGCTCTTAGATGTCACCTGCTCTTAAAGGCTTTCCTGACTGGGTGCAGTGGCTCAAGCCTGTAATCCGCTGAGGCAGGCGCGTCATTTGAGGTCAGCAGTTTGAGACCATTCTAACCAACATGGTGAAACCCCATCTCTACTAAAAATATGAAAAAAGTTACCCGGGGATGGTGGCACACACCTGTGATCCCAGGCCTCCCCTCGCAGATTTCTGCCACACACAAGTAGGCTTCAAAAATTGTAAACATGGCCAGGCACAGCGGCTCATGCCTGTAATCCCAGCTACTCAGGAGGCTGAGGGAGGAGAATCACTTGAACCCGGGAGGTGGAGGTTGCAGTGAGCCAAGGTTGCGCCATTGCACTCCAGCCTGGGCAACAAGAGCAAAACTCCATCTCAAAAGAAAAAAAAGGCTGGGCGGTGGCTGATGCCTGTAATCACAGCACTTTGGAAGGCTGAGGCGGGCAGATCATGAAGTCAGGCCTCTGCGACCAGACTAGCCAATACGGTGAAACCGCGTCTCTAAAAATAAAAAAAAAAAAATTAGCTGGGCATGGTGGTGCACACCTGTAATCCCAGTTACTCAGGAGGCTTAGGCAGGAGAATCACTTAAACCTGGAAGGTGAAGGTGGCAGTGAACCAAGACTGCACCACTGCACTCCAGCCTGGGAAACAAGAGCGAAACTCAATCTCAAAAAAAAAAAGTCTTTCCTAACCACTCTGTTATATCACATCCCCTACGTTACTTCGCCCTGCACGTGAACTCCCTGAGAGTAGGGGCGTAGCCTGAACTCCCTGAGAGTAGGGGCGTAGCCTGCTTTGTATGGTGCTGTGTCCTGGGTGCCAAGTACAGGCCTGGCACGTTACAGGCCCAGTAAATGCTTGTCGAATGAATAAATGCTGGAGCCGACCTCCAGCGCATGGCCATCTCTCTCCATGCCCTCTGTGGTTACTGGGCCACGGCAGGGGTTGGTCCCACGATCCCCAGGTCCTTACAGGTCTGAAGGGAGCGTCCCTGGGCTCACTGCCCTGCAGCTGCCCACCTTGAGCACCAGTTTGCTGGCAAAGTAGAAAAGGGCGACAACCCGGCCCCAGTTGAAGTTGCCGTCAGAGAACATGTCAGCTGCCACTCGAAAAAAGACCTCTCGTGGGGAGTCTGTATCCACAGCGGCAATCATCCTGCAGGAGGGAGGAGAACCAGTGCTGGGGAGCGGGTACAGGCAGACAGTGGAAATTCCCACATCCACCACACACCAAAGATAAGGAAACTGAGGCCCACGCCAGGCTGAAATGAAAAGCAACAGGCCAATGGGGGCAAGGGAAGGGGACAAGACAGACATTTAACAGGGTGGGAAAATGACTCCCTAAAGGAGGGTTTTGAAATCCTGGCAGAAGGAGGGTTGGGAGTCCAGAACGCTTGGACTGAGTGGTGGAGCCCAGACTCCTAGTTCTTAGGGGAGGAGGAGAATGTGGGGCTGGGACTCCTGTGTTCTCAGGAGTCCCATGACTGGACTTCTGGGTCCCGGGGGCCCCCACCTCTGCAGCTCCATGTTACTGTCCAGCTCGTCCCCGATGCGCTTGAGACACTCGCTCAGCTTCTTGGTGGACGCATCCTGGGGCACCGGGTCCAGGGCCAGCTCGGGTGTCTCCCCCGCGATTCGCCCTGCTCGATCCTGGATGAAACTAGAGTGGGAATGGAGTGAGGGTGCAGAATCAGAACGGGGTGTCACTCCTCAAATCTGTGCCCCAATAATCAGACCTCAAACTCACCCCTGAAGCAAAAGGGCCCCTGTCTTCATGATCTGCTCAGAGCTGGTGGGCCCTAGAGGAGAAAGGAAGGGAAGAGGTGCCTGGACTCCTGGGTTCTAGGGGATGGAGAGACTGTGGAGGCTCACGGTCCCTGAGGGAGGACAGAGCTGGGGACCCTGGACTTCTGGGACTCTAGTAGATAAAGTGACGGGGGCCCAGACAACTGAGTCCCTGATGGAGAAAGGCCAGGAGGCTAGGACTGTATCCTGCATTCTCCCGGGGTGGAGAGGCTAGGGGAGCACTAAACGCATCCAGACCCCTGGCCTGAGGGGGCAGAGGCCAGACCCGCCCCTCCTACCAGCGCCAGAGGCAGGAAGTGGTGCGGGCGACAAGCCCGGGCCTGCCCGGGGGCTTGGATTCTGAGAGCCCCTGGTTCTCGGGGATCCGAGAGCGCCAGACAGGCGGGAATCCGGGCACAGGGAACCAGAGAGCCGGGAACCTCCGAGGACGTAGGGGCAGCGCCCGATCCGGGAGTTCCTGCCCCTCAGTGCTTGGAGATCGCACGGCCCCAAGCCGGTAAGAGGGATCCTGGGACCGGCCGGCGAGGGGGGCTCGCCCTTCTCCCGCCCGACTGCCTCCCGCCTCACCCTCGCCTCTGGGTTGCTCCCCGGACCCGTCCATCACCGCCGCTCCCGCCGCCGCCTCTCGCCGGGTCCGCGCGGGCGGCCGCAGCGCGCCCCGGGTCACGTGAGCGCCCCGCTGAACGTGCGTCCCTCACGTGGCCGCCCCGCAAAATGGCCGCCGCGGTGACTGCCCCGCAGCACCGCCCGGGGTCACGTGACCGCACCCGCCTCCCTCCCTCCCTCGGGAGGCTGGGTCCGGTCACGTGACTGTCCAAGGAGCATCTCCCCAGGAGTGCCAGCCGTGGCGCCCTTCCGACAGCCGCCCGTCCAGTCCCCGCTCCGAGGCCTTCCTGTATCCAGGCATCAGTTTTAGACGTTTCGGGCAGGGTTGCGCTCTCCCCAGCGCAGAAGCAAAGGCTCAAGAGGCCCCCGATAGCTTCCAGGCAGGACGTTGTAGATGACTAAAGGCTGAGCGGTTTTTTTTTTGTAGAGACCTAGATCTCTCTATATAGCCCAGGACCAGGCTTCTAACTTGTGAGCTCAAGAGAGACCCTGGCCTCAGCCTTCCAAAGGGCTGGGATGACAGGCATGAGCTACCGCGCCAGGCCTGCTTTTCTGTTTTTGTTTTGTTATGTGTTTTGAGACAGGATCTTACTGTGTTGCCCAGGCTGGAGTGCAGTGGCCCAATCATGGCTCACACGCCTCCCCCCTCAGCTCCTGTGTAGCTGTTAATTTTTTTTTTTTTTTTTTTTTTTGAGACGGAGTTTCGCTGTTGTTACCCACACTGGAGTGCAATGGCACGATCTCGGCTCACTGCAACCTCCACCTCCTGGGTTCAAGCAATTCTCCTGCCTCAGCCTCCCGAGTAGCCGGGACTACAGGTGCGCACCACCATGCCCAGCTAATGTTTTGTATTTTTAGTAGAGACAGGGTTTCATCTCGTTGACCAGGATGGTCTCAATCTCTTGACCTCGTGATCCACCCGCCTCGGCCTCCCAGAGTGCTGGGATTATAGGCGTGAGCCACTGCGCCCGGCCTGTTAATTTTTTTAAAATGTTTTGTGGAGCCGAGCACGGTGGCTCACACATGTAATCCCAGCACTTTGAGAGGCCGAGGCGGGTGGATCACGAGGTCAGGAGTTCAAGACCGAGATGGTGAAAGATAGTCTGTACTACAAATACAAAAATTAGCTGGGCACGGTGGCACGTGTCTGTAATCCCAGCTCCTTTGGAGGCTGAGGCAGGAGAATGGTTTGAACCCGGGCAGCAGAGGTTGCAGCGAGCCAAGATCATGCCACTGCACTCCAGCTTGGGTGACAGAGACTCTGTCTCGAAAAAAGGAAAAAAAAAATTTTGTGTGTGGACATGGGGGTCTGTCTGTCTGTGTTGCTCAGGCTGGTCTCTGAACTTCAAGCCATCTTCGCACTGTGGCCTTCCAAAGTGCTGAGATTACTGGCTTGAGCCACCTCACCCAGTCATGACTCTTGAGTATTTGTGTAAAAATAAAAGGAATATGAAGTTCAAAAAGTGGTAGAAACTTACCTGTGCCGCGAGATCAGCAGGGTATGGAGGGGAGGGGCCACAAGAGAGACTCCCTGGGTGCCCCAAATATGCCATATTTTGATCTGAATGGTTTTTGCATGAGTATACACATATTATTATTATTATTTTGAGACAGTTTTGCTTTTGTTGCCCAGGATAGAGTGCAATGGCACGATCTTGGCTCACTGCAACCTCTGCCTCCCAGGTTCAAGCAATTCTCCTGCCTGAGCCTCCCAGACAGCTGGGATTACAGTCATGCGTCACCATGCCCAGCTAATTTTGTATTTTTAGTAGAGATGGGGTTTCACCATGTTGGTCAGCCTGGGCAACAGAGTGAGCCTCTGTCTCAAAAGAAAAAGAAAATTAGCTGGATGTGGTGGTGTGTGCCTGTAGTCCCAGCTACTTGGGAGGCTGCGGTGGGAGGATCAGTTGAGCTTGGGAAGTCCCAGTCACCGTGGGCTGTGATCAATCGTGCCACTGCAATCAGCCTGGGGACACAGTAAGATCCTGTCCCAAAAAGAAAAAGGTTGGATAAAAGGGGAGGGTAGCATTTAGGTGACAATCCAATGATAGCTTAGAGCAAAGCAAGGTCAACATGGGGTCAGGGCTGTGAAGTGAAACCAGTGTCCTGAATTCTTGGAAACGTGTGCAATGTTGCATCCAGAAACCCTTTATCTGAAGCTCTGCACCTGCGCTGGAAATCAAGGCTGCTACTCTGTATCAAGTGGCTTAGATCCTGCAAGCAAGAATGGGCTGTTTCATTTTTACTGATAGAATTTCCAACAATTTATGAGTTTAGAGAACAAAGTTTCTCAGTGAGTAGGAATGCTTGTAGTTGGCACAGGGGCTCATGCCTGTAATCCCAGGACTTTAGGAGGCCAAGGCAGGCGGATCACCTGAGGTCAGGGGTTCGAGACCTGCCTAACCATGGACAAACCTCGTCTCTACTAAAAATACAAAAATTAGCCAGGCATGGTGGTGTGCTCCTGTAACCCCAGCGACTTGGGAAGCTGAGGCTTGAACCTGGGAGACAGACTGCAGTGAACAGACATCGTGCCATTGGGCGACAGCTGACTGTCCAGCTGGACTCCATCTCAAAAAAAAAAAAAAGCATATCCTTGAGAGAAATAATGCTTCCTGTTAACTTTGCGGCTGGCTTTATCTGTGTGTGTTATTCCATTCCAATGAGATAGCCCTCTCCCTACCCCAGTTACAGAGAAAGAAAGGGCTTTTGGCCGGGCGCGGTGGCTTACGCCTATAACCCCAGCACTTTGGGAGGCCGAGGCGGGTGGATCACGAGGTCAAGAGATCAAGACCATCCTGGTCAACATGGTGAAACCCCGTCTCTATTAAAGAAAAAAATACAAAAATTAGCTGGGCATGGTGGCGCGTGCCTGTAATCCCAGCTACTCAGGAGGCTGAGGCAGAATTGCTTGAACCCAGGAGGCAGAGGTTTCAGTGAGCCAAGATTGTGCCATTGCAGTCCAGTCTGGGTAACAACAAACAGCAAAACTCCGTCTCAAAAAAAGAAAGGGCTTTTAATGCAGCTACCTGTCTCTGAACAGTATAGCCACTGAGTGAGGGAATACACTTTTTAGCTAATTGTGAAGTCAAAACTTTTTTATTTCTATTTATTTATTTATTAGTGGCGGGGTTTCACCATGTTGGTCAGGCTGGTCTCGAACTCCTGACCTCATGATCTGCCCACCTCGGAATCCCAAAGTGCTGGCATTCCAGGTGTGAGCCACTGCACCCAGGCTATTTTTATTTATTTATTTTGAGACAGGGTCCCCCTCTGTCACCCAGGCTGGAGTGCAGTGGCACAGTTGTGGCTCACTGCAGCCTCAACCTCCTGGGCTCAAGGGATCCCTTCACCTCAGCCTCTGGAGTGGCTGGGACTATGTGTGTGTGCCACCATGCATGGCTAATTTTGTATTTTTTGTATAGAGACGGTTTCGCCCTGTTGCCAAGGCTGGTCTCAAACTCCTGGGCTCAAGTGATCCACCCACCTCAACTCCACACAGTGCTGGGACTACAAGAATGCATCACTGTGCCTGGCTAAAACTCTTTTATTTTTTTTACCCCCTACACCCCTGGCTAAAACTCTTTATGATAGGGGCCGGGAGTGGTGGCTCACGCCTGTAATCCAAGGACTTTGGAGGCCAAGGTGGGTGGATCACCTGAGGTCGGGAGTTCAAGACCAGCCTGACCAACATGGTGAAACCCTGTCTTTAAAAAAACAAAAAAAAGAACAAAAAAAAAACTGGGCGCAGTGGCTCATACCTGTAATCCCAGCATTTTGGGAGGCCGAGGCGGGTGGATCACGAGGTCAAGAGATCGAGACCATCCTGGTCAACATGGTGAAACCCTGTCTCTACTAGAAATACAAAAAATTAGATGGGCATGGTGGCGCATGCCTGTAATCCCAGCTACTCAGGAGGCTGAGGCAGGAGAATTGCCTGAACCCAGGAGGCAGAGGTTGTGGTGAGCTGAGATTGCACCATTGCACTCCAGCCTGGGTAACAAGAGTGAAACTCCGTCTCAAAAAAAAAAAGAACCAACTCTTTATGATAATAAAGATGCCGTATCAAAACTATGAAGCCCACATGCAAGATGGCACCTGAGGAGTCTCACCCCCAGGTGTTCATGGCCCTGCGTGGTGTCCACCCACACTGAATAGGGCTAAGCAGTGTGACCAAGAGGATGCTGTGGGAACGACAGAGCGTGATGTCGCAGGTCAGGTCACAGAAGTCACTACAGCTTCCACCTGGCTCTCCTTTAGATCATTTCCTTTAGGGAAAGCCAGCTGCCATGCTGTGAGGGCACTGAAGCAGTCACACTCTGGCGAAACACCGGTGGTGAGGAGCCAAGTTCTCTGGCCCCGGTTTGGGTGGCTGCAGCTGTGCCCTGGGGGACAGGCTCCTGCCTGCTTGTAGCGTGGGAGGCCCGGATCTGCAGACACAGCTGGGCGGTGCTCCTGTCCACTCCTGGCTCCCAGCAGCACAGGGTGTCCACGTTGCAGCCACAGCTTGTGTGGCTGCAGTTGCTTCCGGGGAGCTCTCACCCCACCAACCTGGGAAGGGCAGGGTTCCTGCTTGTCCCCAGTTCCTGCCGGCTCTACACAGGATGGCACCTGGCCATACCCCTGTGAAGCCTGGGGTGGGGGTTCTGGGTCCTTGCTGGGTCTGGGCTGGCATCTGGGGCACAGGCAGCATTGCTGTGAGCTCCTCCTGTGGCCCTGGCACTCAGGGATGGCCTGGAGCTCCCCCTCACCTGGCGCACAACCCCGCCCAACCCCATTGGGGTGGCCCTCGGGCAGGAGACTGCAGGGGTGAGGGGCTGTCCATCTCTTTTCTGTACCCTCCTTGCAGTAGCTGGCATGATGGCAGTGGCCGTACCAGATGGCCCACTGCTGCCATTAAAACCCATGCCAAGGAAAGTCGAAGATATGGAGAAAAACAGAGTCCTGGCCTGATGCCCGCCCTGACCTGAAGGCTTTAAGCAGCAAGCATTCCATTCCTGTGCAGGCTTTTTGATTTTTTGGTAGAGATGGGGTCTTACTATGTTGCCAAGTCTGGTCTTGAACTTCTGGCCTCAAGTGGTACTCTTGCCTCAGCCTCCCAAAGTGCTGGCATTAC